GCTAAGTAGGTGTAAATTATCCTTAAAAGTGTCAAAATAGTACAAAAATTTCGACTCGGGTTACCATACATTTTACTAGTAGAATGTATACGAAGTATAATTACTAGCAAAATATATGGTAAAATTTCAAAAAACTCGCATAAAATTCTTCGAAATGCCATGCTGTCCCACGATCACATGACTTTCCGGATAAATTTTACAATCACGAATACGAAATAATCAAGGTAATAAAAATAAGAGCCAAGACAGGATGTTAGTGTCGAAATGACTTTAATTATTAAAATTGCGAAAAATTTACCTCAGCCAGGATTTGAACCTGGACCTGCCTCTTACTGGACGTGAGTCTCGCCAATTCGACCACCGAGGCATGTAGTAAATTTTAAAAGAAAATTCTCTCCACGTGCGAAAAAGTAAACAAGCGCAATAAAACATTCGTATACGTGTTACACTAAATAGATGACAGAAAAAAATTTGGAAAATACGTGCCACCTTTCGGTACTCGTGTTACAAATACTTGGTGTTTCTAATTTTGAATTTGAGGCGAAAGAATGTACAGAAACGCGCATGCATAAATTGGAATTGTGCTCTACATTTATGTAACTCATTCTCAACGATTGCAAAACAGCGACAGCAAGTTGTTTCTATGCGTTCACTTCTCAGAAGAAGTTACGTCGTGTTAACGGCCCAACCAAATTGCAAAGAGAACGTAATTTGCCTATCAGTTTTGCCAATTAACATTACAATAAATCTACCGTGCGCGCGCTCGCGACAAGAAAGAGGGAGAGAGACGCATAATTTACGAGCGTTTCTTTGCGGCGGAATCGCAATTCGAATAATTACGCGTGTAACGCGCGTATGCGCTACTGTAAATATAGATCAGCGATTAGTTTATCGTAAGACTTATTTGTCGGTGCACATTATCGTTGGCGTTTCTCTTATGCGCATATCTAATCGCTATTGATTTTTGCAAGAAACGCGCGGATAGAGCGAAGGGATCCACATTCACCGTGGTCGACCGTGAAACGGCATGGAATTGCGGAATTGCCATGCGACACATTTATCTCGCATCGTCGATGTTCAACAACCAAATATATTGCAATGTCGGCTAGCAAAGAGAAAAAAAAAGAACACTTTAAAACACGCGGAGCGCGGTGTCGATGGTCGGTGGAAATACTTTTGCGCCGCATTAAAGAAATGTATCGCCCCGAGTATCCGAGAGATATTCAAATAATATTATAAATTATGCCGCATAAATTCAACAATGTTTATGCAATTGATTCTATTATGCATGTACAAGCGCGGCCGTAAAGTCCTTTCTTTCTTTTGCCGTATTAATTCGCGCTGACGCAACCTCGGCTCACTCTAGTACGTCCAACGATCTCTCTCTCGCGATCTCTCGGGGTGGACGCCGTGCTATTATCTACCGGCCTGCCGGCGCGGCGCGGCGCGTCAAGCCGGGATAGTCCGGACGTGACGAGCGCGACACACCAAATATTTAGAGCGGTCGAGCGGCGCGTTAATTGCGGTTGCAGCTTACGGACAGAGCCCGCGTTGCACGCTCATAAGGAAGAGGCCCTCGGGGTGTTGCACCAGAAACTGCGTCGTACTTTACCGACATGAGATGCATGTAACGCGCGAAATTATGTGAACATTAGTTATGCGATCTCGGGTGATAGACTTACGCTCGCGAGCGTTACACCTCGCGCTCAAGCGTAAAATAATTTCTTCTTTTTTTTTTGGACAATCCCGCAAGAAATCTCTGTCTCGTAATCTCGTGTGTACATTTTTCTCTCCCCCCCGATACAAAATGGGAAAGGTAGAAAAATTTACTTGCGTGCGTATTTAATTTCCTACTATTAAGGAAGCAAATAAAATAATTATTGGGGAACAGGTCTTTTCCCGTTTAATAAATCGCGCGAACTTTCTCTCGTACGTTTTTGTATATTTCACGTATTAAATGAGCGCGTATGAGTAGCGGCCTATTAGCCGTCGGTTATTAATGTCGCGTTTTCTTATACTTGAAATTCCGTTGACATCACGGCGCATCGGCTAATCGCCGTTGTAAATTAAAAATCGTTAGAAAATCATTTGTTGCAGAAGCGCGTACACAGAGAAAAAGATCCCGTTGAATTAAAAGGAAATTAAGTCGCTTGAATTAAACGTTGATGTCAACGGGCCGCCACGAACATAAATAATTCACTCAATTGTATTTGCTACGGATTTTTATTTGAAGCATTGAACTGAATATTTAGATTGTTAAGACAGTTATTTGATGTGCTTCGTTCATCAATACTGACGTTGCTTCAACCATTTCATTTCAATTACACGGATATTGTCGATGCAACACAATTTTTCTTGCGCTCGTCAAGATTGGCCTCCTTTATTTACTTGTTGTTTTAATATAACGCGAGCGAAATTCTTATTTGTTATGATTTTTCTTCCCGTGTAGAATATTTCCCTTTCGGGCGTCGGCGATCTTAAAACACTAGCGCGATTCCATCCGTTCGGTCTCCGCTGGAGACGAATAATATTATTTTCGATAAGATAAAAAGACAGCTGCGCGGTAATTTCGTGATCAGTAAATATGTTGTTCCAATCGGACCAATGGAAACTTTCATCACTGGCTACTTTGCGCCAGTGTTGCTGTAGGGATATCGTTCCGCGTTGCCTGGCATAAATCGAGAGATAGCAGGCCGATGTTTAATTTGGCCCGAAGAATACTTTCACTGACACTTGCGTGACATTGACACGTGGGAGAAGAGCGCGATATTCGATCCCGATCGATTGTAAGAAGAGATCGCGCGCGAACAAAAACAAACTGCTGAGCCATATGATATGATATAAATAGGATTTATGTAACAGCGCATATGTAATTTCTCGTATACTTAACGAGCGGGAGACTTGCAAATAATCTCGCGGCATAAATGTTTTGACTTCGCGTGCGTTTTCTGCGCGATACATTGAAACGGGCAGATAAGCCGCGACGCGGTTTTGTACGTAATTAATTTTATTCTTCATTTTTCACGACAGCGAAACTGGCTGATTGTCAAGAGACAGCCAGTTCATTCAGGTGTGTATTAGAGCGACCTGTCTAAAAACTTGTATTAAAGATCGAGGCGCTGCTTAAACGTTTAGTGCAAGAGTAATCGAAGACATTGAATCGATACTTAACGAAACGCGTGAATGAAGGCGGATTTTGTTTACTCAATATTTTCTTCCCCAGAGAAAATTTTAGCGTTTCAATATGGAAATTATATTCAGAATCGAAAGGTTCTAGCTGAATTGATTTTTGCAACGAACATTTCTACGAAAGCGAATCTTTTCGTAGACTACTTTCCGTGACGAAGTTGCCGATTGTCGAGAACAGAGAGAGGAGATTCTAATAAATCGTCCCGGAGGAGTATCGATTCGTAACCACTGTCGAATCGAAGAGAGCGAGAATCACTCAGCTTTCGATGTCTGCAGGCGCATCGGCGCCATATGTTAGCGTGTAAAAGCCATTGCTCTATTCTCGCAAAAATCGGCCAATAAAAAGGTAACTCGTCGACCTTCGATATAGTCTACGCTTCGCGGCGACTGGTTCTCCGTCTCTCTTCTGCTGCTACCAGGTCTCTCCCTCTCTCTTTTTTTTCTCTCTCTCTCTCTCTTTCTCTCCTTACCCTCTGCCTGCGTATGTGTGCGTACGTACGCCGCTCTGCCAACTTTCACGTATCATAATATACAGTGAAAGAATGTGGTTTCCCTTTCAAATTACAAAATATGCCACGAGCGTGCAGTTCAGCACACTTCCTTTTCTTGAATTTCGTATTTTTTTCCCTTACATTACCTCGGTTTTTAAATTCTTCTCTCGATCGCCCACTTTTGAAAGTGACGCGCAATTTGTAATTGACCGTAACATTATTTTCAAGGCAGACGTTAAGTGAAAAAGATTCGAAGTAATTCGATATATTGGTGAGATAAAAAAAATGTGGCCACACTTCGCTTTGCTTCTGTCGCTGATGTAACATCCCCCGTATTCGTTTTTTCTCTTCAAATCGAGACCCTCTCCCCCGGTCTCTTTCTACGCCTCCGTTCGATCGAAAGTGTACATCCTGTTTGACAGGCGGAACACGGCGATCTAAAGGTTTAGACTGGAAAGGACAGCGCCTGGGACTGAAACCTTGATTGAAATATTACATTGCCACGGCGCGCACAATCGGTGCGCAGTTTCATTATTAAAGAAGTACTTGACCCAGATCTTATCGGCGAGGGGGAAAAAAAATGGATGCCTGTAGACGATCCATCCTGAATGTCTGTCTGACGTCTTCGTCAGAGCGGCGCGTTATTGCCGCCGGCGACGATTTGTATCATCTTTCACGTTATTAATTTAGACAAGAGGGATGGATTTATGTGGGTTGCGGCAAACTGGGTCAGGGACACAGGGTTTGCATGCGCGTAATGTCCGCTAGGCATCGCCCGGATTCATATTTCCACGCTCGGCGATGAAAGATACATGGATACGCTTTATTTATTTCAGATAAGCAATCGTTCTAGCAAGACCAAATTAATGGTTCGCGCCGGTTTACAGCTCGCCCGCTTTACAGATACGAGCAATTACGCGAGTTACGTTGTGAGCGGTAATTTGTTTATGTACACGGCAAGAAAAACGATGTTGCATCAACAAGATCAGCGTAATTGAAATAAAATCGTTGAGACAACATCAGTATTAACGAATGAAACACATCCGATAGTTGTCTTTTAACAATCGGGATATTTAGTCCAAAGTTTAAAATTACAATCCATATAGCAAATGCAATCGAGTGAATTACTTATGTTTGTGGCAACTCGTGACGGTTAATTCAAGCAACTTCAATTTTGTTTAATTCAACAGCATTCGTTTTCCCGTGCACGAACGACGAATCTAGTATGTAAAGAGCAGGCGCGCGAATTCCACGCGGATGAATTTCAAGCGACTGCAGCTTATTGTCTTCTCGCGTGATCCACCAGGAAAGGGCAAAGAAGAAGAGGAAAAGTATTTATTATACGTAAAATACGTAGAATACGTAAAGTACAAAGTGTAAAAAAGCATTTCCAACGTAATTAGTGGACGTTGTGCGAGTAACTGCTGTTCCCCCAGGCTCTCTTTTCCCCGCTGCGACGGTCATCGTGCTACCCTTCGTCGCGACCTTAGTACCTGAGGACGTCTCGGATAGCCGCGAAGCATCGCCACTTGTCCGGGAGATAAAAGGGCTCGAAGACGTTCGGGAAGGGGCTGTCCCAACCGGTGACTCTCTGTACCGGCGCGTCCAGGTACAGGAAGCACTCCGCCTGCATCACGAATTAAACGAACCGTCGGTGACTCACAAGTCCGCGATTAGCCGCGATTATACACTTTTCTGTCGGTGTATCGCGCGCAACGCCCGACTTTCTAATTTATAAGAGCCGCTCGCGCGGGCCGTAATCGATTAATCGCGGGCGACAAACGCGGGAGATTCGAGAGACAAGACACCGGCTAATCGGTCACACAGACCCGAGAACCGGTTTTCGGAGGGCCTATTACGCGTGTAACATTATCATTCTGTCTCGGGGACTTCCGACTTGGCACTAATTCGCACGCGCTACCTTAAGTTAACGCCACGCCACGCGCAATCCGTAATGCGCGATTCGCGATCCGTGGTTCGCAGAAATTCGCGGGACATACGTTATTATTCACCGCACTGTTTGCGATTCGCGGTTTATCATTCGTAATTTATCACTTGTCGTCTCGTGTTAACTTGGACAACTTTTAACCTTTACCTGTTTATCGGCACTAAAGGCCTGCGTCCACGATGCTAGAACTTGGTCCAAGTTCTGGCATAGTGGACACAGGCCTTTAGCGCCGATAGTGAGCGCCCGAACGCACCCATAGAAGTCCGTGACAGTGCGGCGCTAGCTTCAGTCCCAGTCTACAATAGATGATTGAAGCTCTAAGCCTTGAGAAAATTGACCAATCACGATCAAGTATGAGTAGAATACGCGACTGTGATCAGTCAATTTCTTAACGCTTAGGGTTTAAATCTCCATTGTAGATGGGTACTTCGGGTCACGCCAGGCAAGAGCCTGTCGCTGTTACGTTAGGTGTCCGGGCGCAATCTCCCCGCTCGCGCTACAAGAGCCCGCCATTGTCCTCTTACCTGCACGGTCGCGGCTATTTCCGCCCCAAATCCATTCGTCATTGGAGCCTCGTGGGCGATGATCGCGCGCCCGGTTTTCCTCACCGACTGCAACATACGAATCAACCGCATATACGGCAATTTATTATCGTTCGCCGGCTGGCGGGTTCAATTCGCGCGTGATTTACGCATCCCGTCCCACATTTGCGGTACAATAATAACTTCACATGCACACACGCGGCCGTAGATGCGCTTAAGCGGGCGCATTAACGACGCCGCCGATGACGGCACGAGTCGTTTTGTAACGGCTATCAAATACGGGCGATCATCTGCGACGTGATCGACGTTGTGGAAATACGCGCTGCGGGAACGGCAGTGCGCGAGATACGCAGGCATACACCTGTGCATAATAGCGTGTGTGCACGCGCGCGCCCGTGCCGTTGTAAATCATTGGACAAAGGTAGAGCTGGATAAGCCCGGCTGGATACAGGTTCCTGTGACATTTTCGACTCGCGCCGACCTTCCCTGCAACTTTCAGAAGTTACAATCTTTCGTTACGGATACACCCTGCGCGAAAAGCCTACGTCTCTATATTTATCCGATTGATATTTATGGGTTTCTACGTGTCCACTGTTAACCTTTATTAACGGGCGCCCGGCTGTCGCAGCAAACGTTTGAATTATCGCCCCTTCCTCGTAATTCGCGATCCCTTTCAAACGCCCCGAAGCTACAATGGACGCGAGACGCAAGACGCCAAGGCCCGGCTTCACCAAGCGTTGCCTAACTTTAGTCTTAGTTTAATTCGTGCCTGTCTCTTTCTTAGTAACAGTTGGGCAGAGACAAAGAACGAATTAAGCTAAGCTTAAAGTCGAGCAGCATTGGCGACGCCGGGCCTAAGCCGCAACGCAAGAAATCGACCCAATCCCCGTCAAATATGAGAAGAATGATCGACTGCCGTTTCTTGCGTCGACGGCATCGACGTGTTTTTATGTCGCTCATTAGCGACTCGTCAAATCGTTGGTCCGAATTTGGTCACCTTATCCCCATGTAATCTACAGTTCGACGTGATTCGTTATGCAATACTCCGCAGCCTGTTGAACCTTTTAAACAAGATTGCTCTCTTGGATGCCAGTAGGGAAGAAAAGTACCAATCGCTATTGAATCTATGAAGGCAAAATTGTAATCGGGGCGATTTGAATTGAATCGATAATTAATCGCGGTAATAATTCAGCGTTTCGCAATTCCTCTGTTCGCGAATCGCCTTTTAATCGAACTCAATCGACGCCGCTCTTCCAGCTTCTTCGTGGAGGCCGCGTGCGCGCGGTGGTTTCTCGCCGAGGCGGCACGTCAGAATTTTGTTTTGCGAGAGCAGTTCGTCTCTCCGTTGCGAAACCCTCGCCGCGGCGGCGTTTCGCAGGCAGACACGTCGGGGAGCAGACGAGACGGCGAATCCGCGAGTGTATCGAAATTGCGGCGGAACGGGTTTTCAATTACGACCGCCTCGCCACGTGTGTGCGTGCGTGTGTGCGCACAACATAGCGCGGCGGTTTGCAAGAGCCGCGAGTGGATACCCGCGGTACGATCGAGCATATCATTAAGCGACCGGCGATCGATTAGCATAAATCAGCGCGATATTAGCATCTATGGAAATCCGTAATGCTATCGTAATCCGACAGGGCATACGAGCGGTCGGCTCGGCTCGACGCCGCGACCGCTTCTCGCGTGTCGCTACGGCGGCGCATCCGCCTCGCCGTCGTCGTCGAGTCACGCTCGCCGCGCGAGATCGAATCGCGAGAGGACCGGGTCCTCGCGCGACGACGAATCCTCCTGGGATGGGTCTCTCCTCTTCCGCGCTATCCCGTCGTTTTCGCGACGTGTTCCAAAGACAAAGGTGGCGCGGGAGAGACTTTGATTGTGTCTCTGGTACCTCGTGTAGGCGCATCTGGCGATTTTCTCTCTCCCTCCCCTCCCTCTCTCTCTCTCTCTTTCTCTCACTCACTCGAGGAAACACGCGTTTCGACGTTCACGGTCAAGACGCATTCGTCGCCGAATGCCTCGGAGCCTCGAGCTAGGTCGAAGGAACGGAGCGAGAAGGCGAACGTAGACCCTTAAAGGTATTAATGGGGAACGCGCGCGAGATCGTGAGCAACGACAACGGGGAGAAGGATACTTGCCTTAAGCGAAATCGTTAAATCGATTTCACTCTCTTCTCTCCTCTCTCTCTCTTTCTCTCTTACTCACTCAAGGAAACGGGCGTAGTAACGACGGCCGTTGTTACCCACCTTGCACACGAGTTCCGTGTCCCAAGGTAGAATGGAAACAAGGTCTATCACCTCGCAGGACGCGCCGAGTTTCTTCTGGACCAGGTCGGCCACCTCCAGCAGTACGTGCACCTGAGTACCCCAGCCCACGAGTGTCGCGGCGTCGCCTGCAGAGAATCGCAGATACATTCGTGTACGTACATACAAGCGCGAGTACGCGCGCCGGATGTCAATCGCCCGATAAACGCGCCGATAAAAGGGCGCGTTTCTTCTCGCGCATCCTGTTTCAGGACCGGTCGAGATCGCCGCTCCGCTACGGCGATACAACGGAAGGACGCGATCGTTTTACTCCATCGTAAATACCTCGCGCCCGGGAGTGCGAATAGTTAACTTTCCGCGACTCTTTAGACAACACCTTCGGAGACGTTATTTTCGTTGGGCAGCGCACGTTTCGCGGTGAATACTGTTAAAGAGCGGAGAGCCTGTCGCTCTAAACATTTCCCCGAAGAATGATTCTGCGATCGCAGATACCTGTTCATAGCGCGTAATCATTTCCACGTAGCCTGAAGATCCGAGAACTTCTGATAATACTAATTATAAACACGTCGCGTCACAGAAGAGAACTCGCAAGTGGCAACGTCTTCGATCAGTGTCGTTCAAATCGGAGTAATAAATTACTGTCAATTATCGCTATTACTCGGGTCGAAATTTTGCTACTATTTTGACACTTTTAAGGATAATTTACACCTACATACCTAGCTGATCTATACACCTACATAGACCAGCAATAATCTACTTTGATGACATCATATTTTTTTTACTCCTCCATTGAATCTTTAATTCTAAACATCAGATACTCCGTAGCGAATGAAATGTTCCGTACAGCATCTTTAGATAAATTCAAGACGGTCTTGATTATAAGATTCGACTATAATTACGGCCCTATATCTTCCACTTTATCAAGAAAACATTTTAATTTCCCGCAAATATAATATACTGGTCAACAAAAAATTATATATCTATGCGCGCATAGATAATTTTATGTCAAAATTTTGCAATATTTCAAATTGCAAAGTAACTCCGTTAAAAATTGTGGTATGTAAAAATTTTGTTTATTACGTTTTATTAAGTTTTATTACGTTTATATGAGGTTACGCAAGATTTTGACATGAAATTATTTATGCATTAACTTTGTTGACGAGTATATTTGCATTCCTGAGAATTTTGAACTTTATTAGACAGACCTGTTATAAAGTTAAAAATTATTTGCAAAAAAATTAAATTTTGTCTTGATAAAGTAGAAAATATAAGCTTCCTATTGAGACGTTTTTGAATTATCTATCACGTTTCGTTGTGAAGTTGCAGTCAATCAAAAAGGCGATTTTTGAGGATTTCAACCTCCTGTCCTCATATCGTATCGTGTATCGTATCATGTCGAAACTAGGACAGATATACCTTTTTCACTAACATATTCGGTTTTAGTGACCTCAAATTAATAAGGATTGACTATTTTCGTGATCAAGGCAGAAAGTGAGTTCACTTTTGTTGAATAGTGTTATCGGTACACGATATTGGTACCGGGGCGTTTACGCATAAAGTATAATAATCTACATCTACATGTATACAATGTGAACTATGTTTACATCGTGTAAACAATGAGTAATCCATGGATCATCGAACAGTGTTTTAGAAATATCAAAAGCTTTGCTTGAAATTTTACTTTTTATTACTATTATATAGGCATAATTTTTAGTACGCCACGAAAAATTAACAGATCGGATCAGCGTAAATAATAATATTTCTATACTATCAAGTATAGTTTTATACCACTGTACACTTAATTAGAAAATAAATTATAGCTGAAAGACATCTAATTTACCTACTCTCTAAAGTTTTTGGAGTGAAAATCGAACCAGTGAATATTTACTCTAACTAATAGAGCGAATATTTAACTCTGTGGTTCTATTTTCACTCCAAAACTTTAGAGAGTGGTTTGTTTTTTTCTTTCTGAAAATAGTTAAAAGATCAATTATTAACGAATGAATTAATTTACAATAATTTACATTGTTTACATCGTCTACATGATAAAAGTTCACGCAAGCAATCCATGTAGATATAATGTTAAAATTTACGGCACACGACCCTGATCGGTAAACTATTCAAAGAATATCGTGTACTTGATTATCCAATCATTTCGCAGCTTACCGCTTCTTACAATCTCGGCTTTGCCGATTTCGATTTTGTAATGTGCCAGAGGCACCTCGTCAACCGCTGTACGATAGAGAACTTTAGGCTCGAATATGATGCAGGGATCCGGCTCGTCGATGCAGCTCAGCAGGAGACCCTTCGCGTGCATCGCTCCACGTGGCACGACGACCTAAAAGGTAGGAAGAAGAATGAAATCTCGTGTCCCCCGTGATCCCTCTCGCGATAATCGGCTCCTCGACAGCCTCAAAACAAGCGTGAAATCGATCGGCTCCAGGTAACATCGCCGGCGATATTACGCCGCGTCCTCTCGTAATCGCGATGTACAATAGCGGCGGTAGCGCGCGCATTAGTGTGCGGGCAAAACTTTCCTCATGCATACGTCGAGCGTATACGCCGTACAATATTCATGGAATTTGTTGAGGAAAGTTGTGAGCTCGCGGCTCTACGGTTCCGACGCGGGATATAGCGAGAGGGCTATACCCGAAGAATGTTCCCGACGATGGAAATTCGACGGGGAATCTTGTCTTGCCATCAAATTATCCGGTCAGATAAACGCGTCGATTAATTTTTAGAGATGAAATCCCACGTCCCAGTCGTCACGTAGCTGATCTACGCGCCCCTGGAGCAATATAGATCTCGTTCAACGCTGTAACAATAACCCGAGTCGAAATTTTGGCCCTATGTTGAAGCTTTAATTCTATTACACAGTAGGACCTTAGACAGTAAAGAGGTCGAACTGCAGGTACAAAATTTGCCCCTTCTTCAAAACTGATAGTGTCGGAAATTTCTACTTTTGCCAATTTAGCATTAAAGTAAGTTTTAAGTAGGAGCTAAAGTAAATTTTGAGAATTAAAGATTCGAGGGAGGAGTAAAAAAGTATTATGTCATCAAAGTCGGTTATTGCTGGTCTGTGTAGGTGTATAGATCAGCTAAGTAGGTGTAAATTATCTTTAAAAGTGTCAAAATAATACCAAAAGTTCAACTCGGGACGTTACGGATATATGTAAATGAACCTTTATACTGTACTTCATATATTTTAGGCAGAGAGGAACCTCAGCCGTTCTGCCTTGTTGCGTTCGATAAGTGAGACGAAAAAGCTAAAACAAAAGTTTCTTTACTGGCCTTTAAACCGGGAGTGTGTGCGAAGTAGGCTTCCGGGCTTTGAGAGTGATAAAGGCCGCCGTGGCCGACGGCCCCGCAAGGTGCACGAACCGTAAGTTTGCCACACTCAAACATGTTGCCGCTTCGATATCGCATCTTGGCCGCTTCGTTAACCAACTGTAAAGGAAATGTGCAGTCTCGTTAGTTAATAGTCGGAGATAATTGATATTTATCTATTTAATAATTCGTGACGAACGAAATAGGCGGACTGTGTCGTTTGCTCGTGAGGTTTTCGAGCTATAGAACAAAAGTTTTCGCGCTACTCCCCACATTTTTTAAACGAATTTCTTCGTTGCAGTTTTGTAACAAAGTGTACTTTCTTATTCTTCGAATAATTAAATCTTAAACCTTTAAGTCACTTTTACACTCTTTTATACGTATATTGTAAAATAATAATTGTCAAATTGATCTGCTACACTCTTATATATTGGATGAATAATGCGATACCTGATCGAAGGCGGGAAATATGTAATCCGCAAATTGTATTTCGGCAATCGCCGATATTCCTGCGTTAGCTAAGCCGATTCCGAAACCGGCAATCCCTTGCTCGCAGAGAGGCGTGTTGAAGACACGATCGGCACCGAAACGGTCCCTCAAGTCTAACGAGCAACGAAAGACACCTCCGAATGCCACGTCCTCGCCAAACAGCACTAAAATTAAAAAAAGAATATTAGCAATACTTCTTATTTTAAAAAATATGCAAATATTGTTGAAGATTAAACTGAAGTTTTAAAAATTTCAACAGGAAATTCAGGTTTTCTCTTACTTCTGGCGTTCTTTTAAATAGTTTAAATCAAGTTTTTTTCGAGAGCTGAATTAATATTCTTAGTTCTTCGAAAGTATTAAAACCTTGAGGATATATATTACTAAATTAGCATATATTTAGAGAAAATGCTCCAACACATATAATATTTATTTAATATATTTATTTAATGTGTAGGTGCATATCTCAATTAAAGGTACACAAGTATAACAAAATCCTTACCTGAACGTGGATCGTTCTCCATTGCGATACCAAGCCCTTGATTTATGGCTTGATACATATTCAGTTTTTCAGTCTCACCTAAAAGCAGGAAAGCACTCTTTTGCGTTATCGCATGAATAATGCATAATTAAACGTAAAATAATTTCGGGTAAATCCCTAAAACACTGGCGCGATAATTGAATTAAAAACAATTCCTTGGGGATTTTGTAGGAGATTTGCAAATCTTTAGGATATAAACTACAAAAATTCCATGATAAAATAATATAATGAAAACTTCTTATACAGCTTCGAAACGTCTTTTAAATATGCGTATTTTTTGGGTTCAGTCATTTTGTAATAACAATCTCACGGACGTAATAATAACCCAGATAGCACACATAGTTCTATGAATATTCGTCTCGAGTGCAAATATTCTTAATTTCTGAATACTCTGTAAATATATAGATTATTACAATTAGAAATCGTATATTCATAACAAAGAAGAACGTTTTTAAAATATTCGTCGAGGACGTCTTTGGAATATTCATTAAGAATAATTTTTTAACATACATCGAGTTTATGTATTGCACATTGTTTATTGTGTAATATTTATGCAAAAGGCAGTGAAACCTATGATCATACCATATACAGGGTGTCTGAGACCACCCGTACACCCCTTTTATTTCGGAAACAGAGTACTTTAGGGAAAAATATTTCAGACAAAAGTTGTATGGTTTCGAGGGGGCCATAAGATGGTATTTGGTACCATTGGTTTGACCTTGAAGAATATCATGAAGAATATTCTTAAAATGTTCATAGGTGTGTCTTGTGCTATCTAGAATGTTATAAAGCCCGTATCAGATTACGGGCTTTGTTGAGAATGAAATTAGATTAAAATTTGACCAAACTGAGTAAAATTTTTTTAATTTACGCTTAGTAAACTATCTTTTTTTATTGGTCAAATTTCAATCTAATCTCAATTCCGTAGTCTCACACGGGCTTTAGAAGAATGGAATATTGCAAAATAATGTAATGATGCTCACGTTTTAACAAGCACGACAAAAAAGCCAATGTCGGAAATTTATAGCCACCTTATATCCATTAATTTTTAATTCATTCTTAACAGAACATTAATGTATTCGTGCATATGAAAGACAATCTCACCTTGGACAGATATATTTTAGTCCGTCGGATGTGACAACTAAAAATACACATTGTGCGCGTTTCATATTGTATTTAATTTGCACTCAAGTTAAATTGAGTAGGTAGATTCGTTTTCGTTTCGATCTTACAAGGGAACGGTCGGAAGTATCCCTGTTCGATTTTGATGGGTTTTCGATATACTCGTATTGTAGAGCATCAAAAAGTTTTAAACTCGTATTTTTGTAGCGGCGTTTCTCGACATTTAGGCGGTGAAACAGTCCCACGAAAATAACGGATTTTATCATTTTTTACGAATATCTTCAAAAATATGTATAAGTTTTTTATACTTTTTATAATGGCGTAATCACATTTTTCATGTCAAATTTTTTTAGTTACGAAGAGAGAGCTTGCTTTTAGGCACCAGTGATGATTAAAAATTAAAACGGGAATCTTATAGTCGACCTGACTGGCATATCCCTTTATTTGTTTAGTACAAAGTTTCGATTATATTTTTTTGGCTCCTTATCACGTAATACTAAGTGAGTCAGCGTCGTTACATCAGACAGAGTCGACTCTGACACACCAAAAAATGAAGAAGAGAGAGGAATTGATTTAATTATCCTAAATTAAGAAAAAAATTAAGGTGTCGTCGGGATTACGAACACTTGCCGCCGCGGTGCGCCGGTCGCAAAAAAGCACCGTGACGAGACCTTAAGTCTCCTCAGCCACGCCGTTTCATTGACAAGGAAGCTGCAATTCCTGTTTATGTGCGGCGCAGCGCCGTGAGCCCAACTTTACTTTGAAATTTCTCTTGAACAAAGGCTCATTCACACGAACCCTTCTAAGGTTTTCATCCTCTATATTCAACCTATCGAACGAGCTATGACTCGTTCGGAAATCGATTTATCACTTTGCGGCATCTCTTGTTAGTATTTTACTTGATAAGGTGCCAAAAATATAGGGTCGAAACGTTGTACCAAACTCTGAGTCGACTCTGTCTTATGTGAAGACGATGACTCGCTTAGTATTCCTTGATGAGGACCCAAAAATAGGGTTGAAACGTTGTACGAAACAAATAAAGGAATATGCCAGTCAGGTCGACAAGTTTCCCGTTTTAATTTTTTAATTACCTCCGCCCTTACCCATTATTTTTGAAAAATAAAAAAATTTTTTCAACGCAACAATTTGAGAACATTGAATGCCAAATATATCCATTATTTTCGAAGTGCTGGTTTCACCCCCTAAATGTCGAGAAACGTCGCTAAAAAAGAGATACAGGTCTGAAATACTCTTTGATACTCTACAACCCAGATAGCATGCATGTCTAAAGCCTTGTGTCCACGATCCAAGAACTGCGTCCAAGTTCTAGTTCCGAGAAATGTGTAACCAATCAACTTGCACCTATTCCATAAAAGCTGCAAGTTGATTGGTTACTTGGTTACTTGGGCGCAGTTCTTGGATCGTGGACACAAGGCTTAAGAGACATCTATAAAATCGCATTAAGTTGTCTTTTACTCTAATAAAACGCGCACATTTAAAAAATGTCTTAACGTTAGCTTTACGAAGTCTTTTACACGTGCACTGCTATCTGGGAATATATCTAAAGTCCATCAAAATCAAGGACACTTCCGACCGTTCCCTTGTTAATCCGTCTGAAGATATGTATTTCAAGGACGGTTGTATACACAGAATGTGTCTGTAATTTCCGAATTGTGACTTTATTAAATAATTTTGCAATCCTTACAATTAAAAATGGAACATGAAGCGATAATTAACAAGTTAAAAGAAAGCGCCTGAATCGAAATGTGACTGAAATTGAAGCTAAGTGAGACTTTTATATTGTGCAGTACCGTATCAAATTTTTCTCACATCAAAAACAATAGAGACTGTTGAAAAATGATCCCGCTAAGCTAGGGCGCCGCCCGGTGATTCAAATCTTGCGTCAAAAATTTAAGTGCTTGTATATGTATAGTATAAATTGAAATTTATGTTGTATAAATCTCTTCTCTTATAAAAAGAAGAACAATCTAAATTTTTGCTGATTCTAAGGAGAGGCAACGTCCCTTCTTTCCTCCCCTGTGGACTTCTTTGCCTGTATCTTCAGTTTTTTTTATTTTTCAGGAGGGAGCAAGTGCCCTCTCTTGCTCCCCTTTCCCTGCGGACGCCTTAATTGTTCCTAAGTTAAATTTGACTTTCGATCTTAATGGATCTCCTTCCCCTAATCAATCTTTCAAATCGAGATTTTACATGCATTTGAATACTCGAGTGTGTCCCAGCGAGAAAAGATTCGTTGATCGATGTCGAAATGATCGTCGAATCGACGTCAATTCGATGGTGTCGATGTCGATTCAACGTCGATCGACGAATCATTTCTCACTGGGGTCCGGGGTTTTAATGTGTCTTTTTTGTTTTTTATTCTACATGGAAGGAAATGTACATATAAATGATCAATTCACTTGAGAAAGGGTGGGCGAAAATAATTAACATCTCCGGATGGCATTTACTTACCGTCGACGGCCGGCTTTTTACACGGGAAATACGTAAAGTGCGACCCTCTGACATGGCTCTTGTGACAAACGGAAACTTCCCCGCGGTTTAAGAGCCACCTGCTGCCAGCGTGTCGCAGTCTTGCGCTCAACTTGCCGAGCATCATCGTTTCTTTTTCTCGCTCTTTTTTTCCTTTTCTATCTTTCTCTCTCTTCCGTTTCGATTCGTCCGAGCAGTAAAGCCGAAGTTGCTAGGACGTCGCGTGTCTCTATTTTACACAGAATACCGATATTCCGCGGAGGTTCTTTCGACTCCACGTGGGATGTCGAAATAGTCACCAATCGAGGTCGAACGCGAGCGAGAGCGCGCGTGCACGCGCGCACACGCCCGTGATCGAACGATTGGACGATCGGCGTGCGTTGCCGATCGTAAACGCACGAACGGGGAACTGGTTTCACGCGACGTACGCACAACGCGGAGTTCCGAGTGCACCAGCGTGACTCGACCGAAAAGGGGATAGAATTCCCGGAGTGGGGGTCACGATAAGTCGCTGACGTTAGCAACACGTTTATCGTTCGGCGCGACTCCGGATTAACTTCGTTTTCCGAACAATCGAATCTCGTAGCGAGTGACGCCGACGTCAAACGCGCGCCACACGGCGGCCGTAAGGGAGAGGGCGAGCAATTTAATATCACTGTATTTAAACGTGGTATAAGGCGGCATGCCGGCTCAAAAGGATTTCATTTGCCTCCTTCTCGAACGCCGATCCAATGGAGAATTCCAACGGGTAGTTGACAAAAATGGTAAATAACTATTTATATCTACATAAAATGAATAAGATTCAATAAATTTCACACTTTCTCATTGATCCTCGCGCAATCTTTATACATATTATATTTTGTGCAGCTCATGCCTCACGAAATAGGAATTTCTATATCTTCAATTGATCGCATTTTACCAACCGATGGTTACAAAGAGTATTCCTATAAACGTTCCAGGTAGCACATGGTGATAACAAATCTAGATAGCACAAAGGTGAACGTAAGTTCTTAGAGAATTCATTTTAAAGAATACCTACAGAAATAGAAAACTGAATATCTGAAGAATTCTTGAAGAATCAGCTGCAATTAGTTCGTCTTGAAGTATTCGTCAGAAGTGTATGCATGTAACCTAATCATTCTTATTGCATTCTTCTATGAATTCCTGAGGAATTACAATTCAGAAAGGTAGCAAACTTGAAGAATACTTGGCGAATTTACTGTGCTATCTGGGAATACATACATTTTATACACACGTGTGTATGTGTATATGGACACCCTGTAAATAACCAGGGAAAAAATGGAAAAAATGTCGTTATATGTATATGTCTCAATCATGTAATATTTAATTGTATCTTGAGAGATATAATTAGATATTACGTGATTGAAACGTATGCAATAACGAAATTTTTTCCATTTTTTCCAGAGTAGGTTACAGTTTTAGTCGGTAATCCATCTTTCATAGCAAGAGAATGGTTATTAATTAAATTTTGATGTTGAAAACCTGCTATCTCATAAAACCAAGCCTATCTCATAATAGAGACTTTACATACAAGGTGTTTTATTTTGTGAATTAGTCTCTTACCATGAGAGATGGATTACCGACCGAAATTGTAGCCAACCCGGGAAAAAATGGAAAGAATCTCGTTATTGTATATCATATTTCTCAATCACGTAATATCTATAAATTGTATATCCTGAGATATAATTAAGAATTAAATTGAAAAATTAGAAATCCATAATTTTACATGTTAACTGTATAGTAATTGATAGTATAAAGAATTCTAATTTGTTTTTAACATTATTTGTTTTCTTAAGAGGTAAAGTATCACTCGAAGTAATATTATCATTCAAAATTCTATTTGCATTTGTAAATATTAATGTGTAATCGATCGATTACGTGTTAATGTATTTTTAAACGTCACTAGAAAACATGTATTTTTTTATTTACATGCGTTGAGACATTTTTGTCTATTAAAATATTCATTTAAAATGACATTTCTTATAATTTTCTATACAACAACGATATTAATAAAATATTATGTCACAGTATTTGACATAAAGCAAAATATACATATGAAAGAACTGTAAATAGCAAAATTTTCAAGCACTGTCAAGACATCTGGCACGCAAATTTTTATAATAACAATTATCGTGCAGACTCTATGATTCAAATAAAAGCGCGCTCGCATAATTAACAACATGGCGGATTGTTGCCACAGATATGAAGGACATCTACTCTTCTTAGGATACCGTCACACGCAGCGTAACTTGCGTAAAATGTAACTGAAACAATCAATAGTTGATAAAAATTTCTCTTGTACTTACAGTTGAATGGAAATGCTAAACGGATTTGCGATTGGATGTGACCGTAAAGAGCAAAGGGGTCGACAGAGAGTGGACTTACTAACAAATCCCAGTCTACAACACACGATTAAGGCCCGGTTTCACCAACGTTGTTTAACTTTAAGGCTTAGCTCAATTCGGTCTTTGCCTCTTTTTCAACTGTTACTTTAGAAAGAGACAAACGTGAATTAAACCGCAGTGTAACTAGTACGCCCACTCTCTGTCGGCTCTTTGAACTTTTCGGTTACGATCACGTGGTATTCCGCCATTACTTTGGTGCGTGGAATCCTTTCACACTTGTCACGCTACCGCGTATACAGCATCTCATTGGCCACACCGAGCTAATGGCGGATGCGCAGAAAGGACCGGCGCAAAGCGAAACAAGCGACAGAGTAGATCTACTAGTTATGCCATGGTGGCGTTATTGCTCCTCGGCGGGATTAGCTGGATGCGCGTGTGCACCATCGGCGGCCATTACGGATTCCTTCGCGAAGACGCGTTACTGCGAGAGGCGAGAGTGCGATATTCCGACGAGTATCCCGTAACGCGAGGGAACCAGGCGCCCCGTTGAGACCCATCGAACGAGGATTCGGAACACGTCGAACATGGACCTGGACAGATCGAGTAACGGCGAGTACAAGTATCAGAGAGACGAGGATGCCGACGATAAACCCAGGTCGTTGGACGAGTCGGAGGAGAAGGACCACCAGATCGACAAGGCCGGCGAGTACATGCACGAGCTCCTGCAGGAGAAGGTCGAGCTGGATGGCCAGAAATGGCCCAACGCCATCCGGTTGCTGGACCAAGGTGAGAGAGTCGGCGGAGGTAACCCCTAAGTGAACATGTATATAGATATATCTTTGTCCAGTACGCGTCTCGGAGACCAGTCCATCTCGTCGCGTTCGCGAGACGAGATACCGCCGGAATATCCGTGGACCGTCAACTGTCGCCCAATTGCATTGAGCACGCGGTCTCGGACCGGTGGCATTTTATGACTCTCTGTCAATTTCAGTTTGACGTCCCAGTCGGGACTTCACCGGGAGCTAATTCAAATTAGTCACGCCGATTCCCCTCGAGATACATCGGTCCATGGTGAACGACTTACACGCCCGAGTCGTTGAAATGTCTTATCTCTTTGATTTGCATTCTGTTGTAGAAAATTAAATTCAAATGACACATGCGTGTGTAACTGTCGAGACCACTTTGTATTGTAATTAATACAAGTGCGAAAAGGCGGGAATATCCAATAAACCAACTAATTTACATAACATAAATATTATGATTTGCTGCTCAACCGTGTAATTGTTAAGTCTGATCTACAATGCATTTGTTGTAATTGGAACATCCTATTTTGTATAAACATATATACTTAAGAGGCTTGTCAACGATATATTACAGTACAATGTGTAATGTATGATTTATCAATTTGCACAAACGTTTTAAATGTACTTGTTACAAAATAGAAAGTTTTTAGACACAGAGCACATCGCAGATCAAGCTTATGTACGTACATAATGTAATATAATAAAAAACGTTTATATTGTTGACTGGGACATTGTGACATCGGTTTTGTGTTAACTGGTGTTGGCTGGATATTTTTATAAAGAATACAACAGAATACACGTTGCTCGTGGACGCTCCGTATATTTGTTAAAATTTAGATAAAATTGAATATAATAAGTTGTAACTACGTTGTCACACTGGTGTGTCTTGTTCAGAGATTCAGAAAACGGAAACCATGCGAAGACCAATGAGAGAATCGAAGTATGTGGATATTTATCGTGAAAAGCATGTTCGCGTCTCTGTCAAAGTCCTGATACCTATTCGTGAACATCCCAAGGTAAGTGTCATTGTTTACAGCCATTTGAATATTGCAACAGATAAATTTGAGTTGTGTAATTTTGCTCGTAGTTCAACTTCGTTGGGAAATTGCTGGGTCCGAAAGGCAATTCCATGAAACGGCTGCAAGAAGAGACAATGTGCAAGATGGCAGTGTTAGGCAGAGGATCGATGAAAGACAAGCAGAAAGTAAGCGATAACGAAGGAACCCTCGCTCTCTATTTTACTCTCCATTTTGAGAAAATTGACGACCTTTTGAATCTTCCAATTTCAGGAAGAAGAACTTCGTGCTTCCTTGAATTTGAAATACGCCCATCTTTCCGACGATCTACACGTGGAGATTACGGCTATTGCCCCACCGGCAGAGGCTTACGCTCGCATCGCTTTTGCGCTCGCCGAAGTACGGAAATACTTAATACCAGATAACAATGACAATATACGTCAAGAACAGATGCGCGAGATGGAGATGAACATGACTGACGACACTGTCTCGAATGATCGGAGAGGACCATCGATGAGAGGACCTTCCAATCTTGGCGTTGGTAATGTACCGAGGCCCGCTGCGAGACAGACCTTACCTAGAACGTCAAGAGGTTGGTTGCATGTCTATTATAAAAACTGTGCGATATGTAAACGTATGCAAAAGATTAAAAAATTCTACCTATTTGATGTTTATTATTGTAAATAGTTATAGAACATATGTGGCAGGCGTTTCGTGTAGCGTGATAAATATAATATTTAAATTATTTCAATCTCTTGTGTATGTAGGAATTAAAACATTAAGACATACACACACACACACACACACACACACACAAGGTTTAATATATCTTATACATAGAGGAAAGTTCTCTATTATAAGACAAGTTCTTAATATGAGATAGCGAGGTTCCTGTTAAATTAACAAGCATCATCTATTGGTTGCACCATGAATTTATTGTTATTGAAACGAATCTGTTTAGTGGAAAATAGATTTTTAGATCGTGTAATCGTCGTGAAAAGAGATTTGTGATTGAATTTGGACGTTGAAAACCTGCTGCAGTGATAATAGATGGGCCGGGTTTTTGGCGCAGGTGCGATGAAAAACTGGTGAAAACAGTAAAGTACCTAATACTAGAATAAAGGTGTACCATTGATCGCCCCTACATAAAACTCATATAAAAAATTTTGAATTTAACCCTTTGGCCTACAACCACAAGTGAGACTCGTGGGAAGGAATTTGGGCCATAAGCACGAGCCTGACTCGTGGTACTTCGTTCGTGCGATCGACATTCCTGTTTACTATAGCCCGAGCAATCGGGAGATAGCGTGTAGGCCAAGGGGTTAAGGAAATAAAAGCTACATATTTGTAAAGATATATAAGTATAATGACGCACATACACAAAGGTATATTTACCTTTTACCTTTACTCTAATCTAGCCTAGCCTGCTCGTCGAGACTTTCGCGCCTTTCGTGACAATCACGCCATAGTATACCTCACTGCTTTACGGCTGCTCTCGCTGCACATGCGCCAAAAACCCGGCCCATCTACCATCGCTGACCTGCTGTCTCACATTAGAAGTCTATCTCAATAGAGAACTTTTCTCTATATATAGATAAGATTTAAATTTATATGTGCCTTACCGCGTATTTTTTCTTAGCTATTCTTCCTCCGCCGCCTGTGAATCGTGGGCCGCCCACTCGACCTGCACCTAACAAATCGAAGGTGTTCTCGATCTTGGATCGTGCAAGGGCTGCTATGGATCAAAGTTATAAGTGAGTCTGCATTGTATACACAATATAAAAAGATCGCTCCATTACACAAAGTACTATATTGAGCATTCGAATCTTTTCGTTTTCTTCAGCTATGATACTCAAACTCCTCCACCAGCGAACCGTGCTGGATCGCATCACGATTATGAATATCACGGATCATCAGGAGGTAATAACGCTCGATACAATGATCGTCATTATACTGGGTCGAATTCTGGGTATGTATTATAATTGTAAAATGTCTTAATTTACAATGATAAGAATAAAATTAACAATATAAGGTTTGAAAAATTAGATTGTCCAGTATATGGATGTATGTATGCATTACAATTTTAACATATAAGGTACGAGAGGTGATAGTATAATATAATAAAAAAATTTCTCTTTCGCATATAATGTTCTTATATTATATAATTATTTACTATGTGAAAGAGTTTATATCTGTTTAACAAAGATAACATGTATCTTTCTTCAAGATACACGACTTACGAGTACGATGATGACTCTGCGCCACATTCTTCACGCGATTATTACGAATCTTCGGACTATCCAGGTAAACTATTATATTTATATACTTGCTTGATTATATTACTTAAAAAAAATATACATGAAGATAAACCTTTTATGATCTTGTTTTAATAATAAAAAATTTTTATATTAGATCCTATACTTATGAGTATGAGTGTTTGTTAATTCTTCTATACTAAATGATATAAATCCTTTCTTATGCTTACGCAGGGTTTAGTATTACGTACTAATTTTATTATAAATTTTATAATATAAATATTCATATAAATAAACACTTGAAAAATTATTTATATTTATAATTATTGTTATAAACTGGAATTATTGCAATTATTATGGGAAAACATCATTAATAAAATACATAATGTTCATATTAAAAACGGAGCTCTTGAAAGCTTCCATGGGAATGCATTAAATACTAAAATTTTTAACTATATGTAATAATTTTCAATTATATATTTATACATTTAACTTTCTATGTCGTAAAAGAAATGACTTTAGATTAATAATTGTAAACATCCTTTTCGCCAGATATTGGCTATTTTTAAGCCCTTAATAATTACCAAATGAATAAATCTCAGAACCAAGAGTAATGCACTTATATAATTCCATGAAGATTAATAATATCTATGAATTTTAAATATAAACTTTGATGGAAATTAACTTTAATGTAAATGAACATAAATGTTGCCTTTTATTTAAATCAGTTTTGTTTATATGTGTATAAGAGAGAGAATTATACAGACCATACCATAATAATTTACATCCAAATGCAGATAATATATAATAATTAATATTATTTCCTAGATTATGAACTGTGGAGTTCCAATCGAAGCATTATAAGTTTAAATCTACTACAATATAATAACGAAATTAAAACCCTGCTGTAAACTGTAACAAATATGCATGACGTTGTTATCGCATGATAACATATTGATGTCTGAAAATTTGAATGTCTCGTTACACTAAGGAATCGCCATCGTGTTTTGCCTAAATAATTAAAGCGCATCAATCCATGTAATTCGCAGAGGAGTCGTCGAGCCGCGCTTGGAAATCTTACAAGACCACAACGACGTCAGGCGCAGCTTCGCGCTACCGCACCACCCCATATACACGACCTTCCAAGTAAACACCTACAAAAAAAATTATCCGTTAAATTTTTATTTATCTCAATTATCCATAGTCCTCTAAATATTTTTTTTCTGACACTATTATTTCATAGTGTTGTTGCTAATCCATTGACGGCTAATCTTCCTAATGCCCGGCGGCCTATGATGCCCAATATGCAGAAACCAATAAACGAAAGAAATCGTCCTTAATCGATTGGCGACACGAAGGCTAATACGGTAATGATACGTAAATATTATTATTCTATCTTGACGATTGTTAAAACAGCAAATTTTATATTCTAAGGATGATTTATTTATAATTTAATTTTTTTTCTTGTAAACGGCTAATAGATCTTCAACGAAATAAAAGGTTTATGTATCTACTATCTCACTATTTTCGCGTATCTCTTTCTCAGTTATAAATACTGTATTTATGAATTTTATATTAATTTTTTTTTATAACGGTTTCAATAATTTTCAGATTATTTTTCGTGGCCACTGGATAAACAGGAACATAAAACTAATCCATAATTAAAGTGCATCCAAAAATTTGCATCAAAATTTTCAGCCGAAATTCCTATTAAATTCAATATTCGTGACCATAAACGCGATATATTATATATTTATCCCTTTGACAATTCTACTCAACCCTTTGTAGTGTAATTTTGAAGGTCCTGAGTGTTTTCTATAAAATTATTAATTTTGTTTCCTCAGTCCTATTCCTAAAATTTTCGACGACAGATGGATTTAATCATTGACAAGAAGTAAAGGACCAAGAGGATGGATGGAATAATTCAAAGTAAAAGACTCAAAAAAACTTTGAATAATGGATTAATATTGCATAAAGTGAAACTAATATTAATATTGAAATTAATATTGATAAAGTGAAAGTGACATTATCAGCTTCATATAATCATACACTTAATGTTATATTTACAAGTTAAGTTTAAATTAGAGGCTAAAGAATTCTTACGGTCTTTTTTTTGTACTTAATGTTTATTATGATTTGAAAAGTATGTAAATGACACATTAAAAAATAGGAAATTAATGTTTAATTTACTGATTTGCGATCAAATTATATGTTTATATTCTTCATTTGCATGAACAAGATATAGCCGAATATACGTATTGAAATATTTGAAATATCAAGATAAAATTGCATTGTAAATAGAACAAACTAAATTAATTTAAAGTACATACAATGCAAACTAAAATTATAAATTGATATACATGAATTTATTATAATAATATGATACTATATTATCTGCTTAACATGCACAGCCTCTATTGATTAAAATAAAAATGCATAATGTAGATTTACAAAACATATTAACGACCTGTGTTTTCTATTATGTAGAACAATGGAAGATTATGATAAACCATAGTGTTATATATCTATATATAAACTTCCAATATATGAATATTAAAAAATATGTAGACATAATTCATAAATTTATCATTAAAATGACATGTAATATGTAATCTTCAAAAATTGAAATAAACATGCAGTAATCAAATATTTGTTTTGAAAGATGTCAAAATAAATTTCCCAACCAACGATAAAGCTAAGATTCTAATAACTTTGATCAAAATACTTTTGTAGTATATGTAGTTTTACTCCCAATAAATATTATAAATTTTTAAAAATCATTACGTGTAAAAACTTAGTATTATTTTATAATAACTGTTATCAAAATGCTTTCATAAATGAATTCGCGATTTAAATATTTTTAATATAATGTATTATTTTGGAAAAATTTCATAAAAGATAAAAAAGGTAAAATATAATTTTCTGATTGAATATATAAATTAAATTAATAAAATATATGAAAGATATCTTTTATCAAATATCAAAGATATCTTTTATCAAATAACTGAATAATTTTTTATGAATATACGTAACACGCGAAATAGCAAATATAAAATATTTGATACAAGGGAGTTTTGATTTTAACAAGTTTTATAGAAATATTGAAAAACAATTATGAGTTTTATCTTATTCTAATAATATTGTTATTCATATATTTCACGTAGGTGGGTAATACATGATGAAGGTCTTTGATCATGAAGATTATGTGGAAATCACATTAATCATGATGGACTCTGAAGTGTCACGAGTACACTTACATATTACGTGAGTATACATTCTTTATTTACAATTATCTGCTACAAATATAAAAATCTGATGTAAAGTAAGTCTGTTTTAACGATTTTTTTCTTTTTATTTTTGGTGCTTACATAAAGTTTTTTTTAGCGATATACAGTCTTCTAGAATAAGAATCCAAAAATAATAGCTGTAAGAATTATTTAAAAAATATCCAGTTATGATATTAGAAAAAAATAGTAGAATGTTTTATAAAATATTTTTATATGATATTAAGAGAAGTGTTTGTCCGAGTTTTTTGTAAACGCGCGCACATTTATGTAAAGATAACTAATAAAAAGACACTTTTTAAACAAGCATAAGTAATTAAAATAGCAATTATCTTATGTCTACTGCAGTTTATTTTCTGTGCATTATCGTTCAAATGTATTCAGTTATTTATCAGATATGATTTACGTAAGAAGTCAATAATATTATAGCTTTCGGTAATTAAAAAATTATAATTTAATCTTTTACAATTAAATACTTAATTTTTTTAGAAATATCACAAAAGTATGAAAATGGTAAGAAATATTGTTATTTAATGCTTCCTTTATATTTTACAGCTATGGCACACTATAATTGGTATTTATTTGTGAAAGAAAAATAAATGAAATAAAGTTTTTTTTAAAAGTATTACTCCACATGTACTCCATATTTTTTTGCTTTACAAAACTCGCTCTCTTCCATATATTGATTATACTATAGCAAAGTAAGTTACAAAACCGACGGTAAAATTCTTGTAATTACTATCATATAATATAGCAGGTAATTACTATCACGAGGAATTGCTTAGAAACAATATTCTTATTTATTTATCACACACCAATATACAAAAATGAACTGTATAATCAATATCAGAATATAATATACTACGAAATTCAAATATATTTAATAAAGATATATCTGAGTATCTTACAAGATTAGAATGATGCTTCAACTTGAAATAAAAAAATCATCTACAACATTCTTTGCAGTTGGCACAGAAATTCTGGTAGAAAAACGTATTTCTACGGCCGTCCTAAGGATTATAAATAAGTATTAATTTATGGGAATCCTTAGCGTCTAACAAGTCGCATCTAAGTAGTGAGTGAAAATAAGGTGCCGAGTTTTTCTTTTCCTAACTTTTTCCTAACTAATCCCTCTGCATATGAACCGGGAGCCGTGAAAGATGCTTCGTTCGTTATATTCGTTCGCTTAAAGTACAACCGAGAGTTGCGTTGAAGCGTCCACGCATCTTGTACCTGTTGAAACGCATGCCGCTGATTTTCGCCGCGCTGTTCGCGCAATAATTACACCAGTATTAATGTTACGTATCTCATATGCGTCATTTTATTTAGAACGATGTCACAATACCAAATTGTTTTCTAATGTGCATGGATGTTTCGGTACGTCGGGCGACGATCAACAGAGCGATCTTCGATTGATACTCGCTGACGCAAAATTTCTTCCTGCCGTGTGATCACATTGCTAAGGTAAAAAAAAAAAGCGCGCGTGATAAAGATCACGCTGCTGATCACTCGCAATACGTGTCTTCTGAATTAATTAACGTGCTATATTATTAATGAGGAATTGTATTATTTGCAAAATATGGCGTATAAATGTGAAATTATGTGACAAGTACAGAAGTACGGAATACAGAGACGCCAGATTTTAAGAGATTTTAATGCGTTTTAACATTTACAAAATTGTCTTACGCTTTGCGCAGTGCAGAGGCGGCTCCACTGTAAGGGCGAGCTACATACGTCCCTTACGAGTACTCGAGGAATTCGCTTATATAAGAAATCTTCGTAAGATATCCAAGAACTCGTGTAAATGTAAGAATGTGAATTGGCGAGATCCTTACGGAAGGATTCTCCCTTAGCGTTACGTTAGATCTCGGCAGCACAACAGTGTGAGATTTCTTTTTATCTAAAAGTTTTGCTAGTCCTTAGAGCCGCCTCTAACACCAAGGGAAGACGCGCGTCTTCGTGGTATGGTTCGATCCTACGGCAACGAGCCGGTCTCTCATGTTGCACAACCACCCCGCTAATACTTCACTTCTATGAAAAAACATGGAATGTATAGTGTATTTTTTTATCGGTTTACACCTTAATAATGTGTACGATTATATCACAAGAAAGATTCAAATATTCTGTACATAATCCGCGCCGACGCGAGACGTCTGGTTATTCAAGGTCATCTCTTCTTCCTCCTCGTCTTCTTCCTCCTCCTCCTCTTCCTCGTCTTCCTCGTCTTTCCCGCTTTATTTTTAATCTTACATTTATATATATTTATATATATATTTATATATACGCCTAAGATTTAATTACAAAGTTAGATATGTCTCAGGTTCACCTGGTATTGTACTTGATACAATTTCTCGTGACTGGCGAGTCACGACGGCGAAATGCGGCCGACGAGCGTGTTTGCGCGTCGCTCCCGAGGAGACTTCCGTTTCGTCGCGCGCGTGCTCGAGGAAGCGCTTTTTCGTTGCGCCGCTACCGCTTTTCCTCTGCGTCCGGTTTCCTTAGTCGCCAGTCGCTTACGTTTAATAACTCGATATCGATAATTGGCACATCTTTTTTAATGGCAAGTTTCGCATTGGCACGATAATGGCCCTGGGGAATAGCCTTGAGTGCAGTCTCTTCGGAGGAGAATTCAATCGCTGAGACGAGAAGCATGACGCTGATGGTTGTTTTTTAACGATAATAATGAGTCTTTCTCTGACGATTAACAACGAACTTTCTTTCACAAACGCATAAAAATATTGTGGAAAAATTTGCTAATAATATGTTGACTTTTTAAACGACGTTATTTATTTCCCGACAAAACGTTCAGGTGGAAGCGTGCACGATCTCGTCGGAAGGACTTTAATTTTGGCGATTCCCTGGACTTAACGTTGTTCCTGACTATCACGCGAGTGTGCACCTACGAAAGGCAGAATATCCTTGCTTGTGACTAATCGCACGACGTCCCATTAATATCAGTAGAGGTGACTATACCGAGGACCAAGTCGCACCTCGATATTCATGCACGACCGCTTCTGATTACACATAAAGAATTGCTAGTCCAGGTAAGTCTCATTGATGGAAGCACAGCTTTACTAATAAGTAAGAAAATTATCTCTAATTATTCCATAAATCATATAACGATCCAAAATGTACATTAAAAGAGAGTCAAAAAAGTAAATTTTAATTGGTTTTGTCCTTTCACCTTTCTTAATTAATAAGTGTGTTTATAATTTAAAACTATCTGCAAATGTTATCTCTTTCTTGCGGGTTGCGTATTAATAATTATAAATCGTAGATGATTGGATTGCAAGTTGCAGGAGATAAATGTAATACTAATAATAATTTCTTGTTAATATTATTAATTGCACTAAAAATTTCTCGCATTTTCCGACTATTATAAATATTTCGCGAAATTATTCTTATCTGATCTCTCCACAAATCACAAGTTTCTTGCGTGAAATTTTCAATAAAAAAAACTGAGAATAACGGCACAAATGAATCAAATAGGATCTTGTATTTCCATATCCGTCGCACTTTTTATCACACTCGTTACTTGCCGTTTTACGGTTTCTGTACTGGCTATTGTTTTGAATTTACTAATCGAATAAGGACGAAGAATTCTATTCATATTATTTATGTAGTAAAATTGGTTAAATTTGTGCGATAAAGACGAAGAGCTAAATTAAAAGATGACCACTTTCGTTATAGTCGGTTATCCTTTTAACGAACTTGATTAGCCTTTCTTTTCGGTACAGAAAATTTCAACGGCATGTTCAAAAGTGTGCGAAATGATTACTTGACGTGACGGATGTGATTTACGCATTATCAAGTCGCAGCTTTTTAAGAAATTCGATCTGTCATGTTTGCGGCGAATCATCGGTGGGATAAAAGGCGGATTGTACAAGCGCTTGTAAAAAGTCGCGGCTGCTTCCTTCGATTGTTCCAATACCTCGGAAGGTATTGGAACGTCTTTAAAAAGACGATAAATTAGAATTATTTATATTTTTAATGTTTACTCCAAGTACGATTGTGGTACCTAATTTAGATAACAGTTTTGAAACGATACTTTTTTTTTAAGATCTGCATGCAAAATTATACAGCCTCAATGTATTTCCATACGGTACAAATATCCAGTAGATATTCTCAAATATCTATTTTCCTGCAACAAGTTTCTTATAAACGCAAATGATATATCAAAACCTTAATGTATAACATTTCTGAAAGAGAAAAATCGAGAATCATCAATTATAAAATGCATTAAACGCATGCACTTTAAAGATTGCGTACTATTTTTTTTTGAATGTTCAAGAATATTTATTGGACATCCATAAGATATGTAAAATTTGATTCTTTCTGTTCCACAGAGGTGATGCATACTTAAAACAAACGTATATTCACTGCTTACTAAAAAATTATTGATATTTTTCTGTAAGACCGATAATAATTTAATCGCGCAGCTGCAGGTCAACGAGGGAAGGTCCCAAAGAGTTTCGTAGGCTCTCCGAGACGTTCTTCGACATTTTCAGGATAACGTACAAAACAAATAGAATCTATACCAAAGGCGACCAGCGACAAAGAGTTCGAGCCCCACGGTACTCGGCTTCCCGGGGCTCAGCTAATGAGAATTTTCCTCTCCTCCCGTTTCCTATTCATCGACTATCCCTGATTGCACATTTTTCGCACGTATCACGCAGCCCTGCGTGTCGAATTGTCTACGGAAGCATACGACCAGCCAACCTCGGCGTACGGCGGCGGGCGCGTCGCACGCGAGTGCCAGCAGCGAGTGCGACGCGCCCGCGAGCACGCGTACGCGTACGCGTTTTCCAGTGGTCCACTGCGAGCTTTCCGCAAGAGCGATGGGCGCACGGAAGCTCAGTTGTACGGCCAGGAATGCCTGATAGACGTGACCACGTTCGAGGTAGGCGGGTCTTCTGTGCGTCACTTCTTCATGTCGTTCATCAGCGCATTGTCCTTACTCTTGTTCGAGTCGAGATTCGATTGCTGACTGCTCGTCACGCCGCTGCCGTTCCCGGGGTATATCTTCTCCAGATGATTCAAAGACTCGCTTAGGAACTTCTGCAACGGGAACCGTAAAAAAAGCTTTCAGCGGGGCTGTATTTTTAGGTGAGACTCACTCAGCCGCATTTTTTAACGGGGATCTTTAGAGAAGGGACTTGAATTGCTTTTCGCGCAGATACTCGAGGTCGCCGGAGGAGAAAACGGTGGTATGAAGAAAATAACTTCTAACTTCTTTCTCATCACGTTACCTGTATAGCCGTTAAAGCGGCCACGATCGCAGGACTTCCGAATCCGTGTGATATGAGAGAGAAATGGGTGAGATGTCTCTGTATACTGGGGTCGAGGATATGTTGCGGCCGCGTATTGCAGAGCGGCGATCTGTCCTGGTTCAGAAGATCCATCAGCTCTTTGGTGATTTGTCTGGAAACAACCAAGTCGCTAAAAATATCTCGTATTAGAAACCTATCTCGTAATAGAGCACTTTCCTCTATTAATACTTAAATGAATTAGCAATAATTATGCGATATCACCGATGATAGAATAGCGCGATGACGGGCTTATTAGATTACCTCGAGTAAAGGTTTGAACACCGTTAGACAACTTTTTATTGATCCGCTATAAGTTTCACTAACTACGAAAGAATGGATATCTTATTATTTGTTTTACGGATAAATTTTTTTATAGCAACAATATTTGACGTTTTTGAAAAGCACAGCGTAGTTAACTTAAAAATGACGACAATCCAAACTCTCACTTGAGGAACTCTAGTGTTTATGCTTACTTGGTGGCATGAAGAAGTTCTTTCCTCCTGTAGGAGTCTTGCGGCTCGCAGTGCTGCCGACTGAGGTACTCGGCGACTTGCTTCGCGGGGAATTCGGTCTCGCAAACGTACCCGAAGTCTCTGGCAAGGTGAATGGCTTCTCCTGAAAAGAATAAAATATTCACGTGTAATGTGCGCCACTATGTAAACTCGCTACGTGCTAGTATGCATAACGGTCGATGAAAACGATCGCGGAGTTCTGTTTGATTTGCGAAACGCTGCCCATTCGTATTCCGAATAGTTCAACTCGAATTTGTGCGTCTTGCCAAACTCACAAGCGGGGAGATTTCGAGAATCTCGTCGCATTCGATGACGGATCCTCAGATTTGCATAGACATATAATTATCAATATCTACACGGAGAGACTTTTCTTTTCAAATTTATCCTGAAAATCATGTAATCGCGTGGGACAACATGGCATTTTGAACAACTTTGTGACAGTTTTTTTTTTCTAATTTTACCATATATTTTACTAATAATTTTACTTAGTACACATTTCACTAGGATGTATAGTAAAATGAAAAAACTCGTAATGTTGTCTCACAATTACGTGATTTTCGGGATAAATTTTAAGAGATTCTCTCCGTGTATAAAATACACTTTGACGAGTAACAATGCCGTTCTTTAACACTTTTGTCTTATAAAAACTTACTCTCTAACAATCAATCAGTGAATTATCACTGAAAACAGTGAATAGTCACTGACTTACAGTTGTAAGTCGCAGTAGTATGCTTACAACTGTCAATCAGTGACTATATATTCACTGTTTTCAGTGATAATCCACCGATTGACTTTTAAAGAGTACTTTGATAGAATTTTAAGTTGAATTCCTTCCCGCCTCGACTATGACTTTCTGGTTGATTTCCTAACATATTTAACATTAAAATTCCAAAAACTTGCAATATAGTCTTCCATAAAGTATCGAAAGGATCACAAAGTTTTCTTCGATTCGTATGCCGGATTTATGATGAGCATCTTGCTAAATTCACACGAACGGGGAGATTTATAAGATCCCGCCGTTCGGTAATAAATCTCCAGATTTACAGACTTATAATTATCTATAATCTATAAAATATTCTTCGATGAACAACAACGCTGTTCTTTATCATTTCTGCTTTCTAGAAATTCAACAATATTTAACAGAATTTGAATTTCTTCGCCTTGACATTCTAACATGTTTAATATTGAAGTGCCAAAACCTGCAATATAGTCTTCCATAAAATATTTGTTATTAAAAAATCGACTACAAGTTTGGTGTAGAATCCGTGGCCAAGTATTTGACGAGTTCTCTGTACAGTGTCAGATTATTTTCCGCAGAAGGCAAAATAAACGCTAAATATGGAGTACATTAAAAATATCCATTAAGAAGTTGTAAGCCGATCCGTTGGAATGAGTCTTTGTATGTCCTCGATGTGCTACAGGCAGAGCGAGATTAACTAATTACAGTTAATGAAACGCGCATTCTCTTCAACGCGCACGTCGCCCTTCCCCTTTTCGAGCCCTTCCTCTTTCCACCCCTCCGTAGCGCATTCCACGCAACTTCTCTCTCAGTATGATGGAAGGTAATTAGGTAGCTATATGTGTGTGCACGCGCGTGTGTGTGTGTGTGTGTACGTTGCGCGCAAGTAGGGTCTCTCGTGCAAGCTGGAAGTAGACCCGCTGGGCGCTATTATCGATAAACCAAGCAAAGCCACCCGCAGGTACACCGCCGCTTGTATCACCCACGAGATCGGAAACGCGGACCTACAAACGGACAAAGCCACCTGCAGTTAACGAATTATCCAATTTCGCAATCCTGCCCACGCTTCCTCTTTTCCCCTCTCCGTAAAGGAAAACAGAAATGCTTCTTATACGTGGAGATACCATAAGTGCACGCAGCGTGTTCGCTTGGAGAACGTTGAAGAAACTGGCGAAATTCCGTTACACCGTTAGCGATGGAACCATTTATCAAAATTCGACATTTCAAAGTAAATTAGAAATAATGTCTTTTTTTTTCTAAATAAAAAGGACAGTTGGTTTTTATCTTTTTCAGTCTGTATTCGCGCTTGAATTTCAATTTACACTGACAAAAAATCTAAACTGGTTTAAAATTAATGAATTATACGTTGCACATTTGACTGCAAACTTGTACTCTCTAAAAGTCAATCAGTGGATTATCGCTGAAAACAGTGAATAGTCACTGATTTACAGTCATAAGTACATCACTGCAATGTTCAGTAGTATAACTGCAAATCAATAGTGACTATTCACTGTTTTCAGTGCTAATTCACTGATTGACTTTTAGAGTGTAAGATTTCGCTCAATTCGGGCTGTGAGGAGGCAAAGGTTCCGCACGCGAGAATCCTTAACGCGTGCGAATTCTCTGTTGCGCGAGCGGACATGTGAACGACCGGCAATCAGCGATGGCCCAGCATATTTGCGGAAATTCTCACATGTTAATAGCCGTCTAATGGCGTTCTAAGTGCCGGTCCAATTTCGGACGCGGGAAAATAATGAGATCCTAGCGAGACCGTCGTGCACATGACTGACAGCCTTCTAATTTCGACGTAATGACCGCGCGCAAGATCGTTGCTCGCGCAAGGATCTTGCACGCGCGTAGCCCTGGGCAACCACCTAGATCGCCGCAGAAGTCGTATTCGAAGTCGAATATTCTCTCTTTTTTTTCCCCCCTTTACTTTAATGCGTTACACTCGGGTTGCGCGACAACACGATTGAAAATGCCACGGATCTCATAAAATTTAATCGTCCTATCGGTACACACATATGTGAAAGTACGCGTTGTTTATTGCCTTCGGTCGTAGAGATTGTTACTATCGGCCGTTCGGCGGGCAGAGCAATTGGGCGCTCGCACATTTGTAACGGCGTAAAATTAATTTTATCGTATCCGGATATTTTTACGATTATGTGTGTATTCGCTGGGACGAAATAAAGTATGTAATACGATGGACAGCCCATGGAACGGTGAGTTCCCGCGAGTATCCAAGTTTCAGTTCTTCGAGGGACACATTGCTTGCCTCGTTACAGCTTCGTTGTAGCGCAAATAAATCTGCTCTCGTCTGCCGGAATAAAAAAATATATGTCATACGATTCTTATTTTATCACCGCAGGCAAATGAATTAAATGCTTAAGTAAGCGATGCTCGCTTCTACACTATGCTGTATTCATAATTATTATTTATGTTTTCGTAACGCGTTTAGACGTATCTGTTTAAAACGTGAACGAGGTAAGTGCGCCGTAATTGTTTTAACGATAGTACACGTAGATTTCGAATGTCGAACTACTATATACAATTTGGACTGCACTTTGCGCATACGTCGTTGTTCTATTTTATGTGACATAAATTGCAGTTCATGCGGTCGCAACCATCGTTATTTTAATAGACCGCGCCATTGATCCTACGTGTTTATGCCGGACCTGTCGTAATGCTTTGTGTAGTAAAGTTTTTACTGTGGTCGCGATGTATGGGAGAGAGAGAGAGAGAGAGAGGTAAAAAAATGCGTAGCGAGCAGACGCATTAAGCGAAACGAGATACTGCTAACGCAGCTATGAAAAGCATGTAAGTAGTTTGAAATTGCCGATGTTTTGCGTTGTTTAACGTTACACAATATTGCATATGTAACGTTGTTGCCGCTTGCACTGATTTTACGTAATCCCATTATCTCCGCTCAATGTATTCAACAAGAACGGATACACGTAAGACGGAACGATAAGAAGTGACATTTTTATTTTCCATCTAAGCTGCAAATTGCTCGGTTACTCGGCGTCTGATACATCTAATCACTTAACCGAGGACACTTAGCGTCTAATTAGAATCAATATAGCGAGGGCTTCTAACAAGGCTGTTTTGAAATCTTATATTGTGGATGACTGACGTAAATTCGCGTTTAGATACACGGAGAAGAAACGAAAAAAAAGGAAAGCATGATTGAAAACTATTGACGCGCGCGCGCGCATTTGAAATTTTCTATTCGTTTTGTATTAGATTTATCTAAACTCAAAGATGGAAAAATCTTTGTTTTCTTTAACCCGAAAATCTTTTCGTGCCTGTAGATATGATAAGTACACGAGAAATGGTTGGAAAAAATTGTCGTGCCTTTGAAATTAAATGACTTTCTAAAAAGATGATGGCCAAGTACACCACGTACCAACGCCACGAATAATTAAAACGCGAATGTTTTTGTAGAAGGACGATGGGACGCAAATCTGGGTTAATACGTACGTCGTTGCGAGGCAATAGAGTCATCGCGTTCGAAATAATCGCGAAAATTTGTGTTTAAAAGAAGATCTCTCTCATTCTCAGTTTTGAACTCAATCACCTTGTCGATACAAACTCGATAAGATGAAAGAAAAATAAAAACAACGGAAGTTAGAAAGAGGAGACTATCTCCTACGCAAGGAGAAGATCTTTAAGAAACGAGTATCCCACGATGTGGGACGTCGAGCGGGTATAATATTATAGTTTCGTGCGATATTTATCGACATGGATACCACGTGTGTTTTCGCCGTCGCGTTTTCTGTGGAATTCTCGTATTAGGTGCGCAAAACCGACACTAAGTTAACTATCGGCGATCTTATCGACATCGTCGGACGTGGCGCAAATTTCCACCCCTCGCCCCTCACCCTCTGCGCGAGGTGCAACAGGTCGTTTCGGCTACGCTTTAGCCTGCCACGGACAGCTCTTCCGCGCGGATTTGCATATCTCCTCCCCCTTATGTCGTATCTCCCCTTCTTCTAATCTCTTTTAAGTAAATTAGCGTGTCTGTCGGCGTTACCTTACCGATATGCGCGCGCTGCGAAACGTTTACGATTATGATCGCAAACGCGAACATACGTCTTGCATTTTATCGGATTTGTACTTTGCTACTTTGAGAGATTCTCTTGGCGTTTATCTATTCGGACTGTCCAACTCGGGATGATAATAACTTTTCAATCAACTGTCATAAATTTTATCCTACATCAATTCTTATATTACTCCCAATTGGAGTAGGCTCCACTGACACGATTGATACTTTTTTAACATTAGGAATTGGCAATTCTACCGCCAGCTATCAATGAAGCAGTGAGATTACGTTATGCATGAAGACATTCAAATTAGACAAGTGGGCGCACACACTAGTTATTCTAATTAAGAATGCAATAAACTTGTGTACGAAAGTCACAGAAATATTAAAGAAAGTATTATATTGCTCTCTGTAATATGTTCTCCTAGTTGCAATGCAAACCAACTCTGAATAATTTGTACTTTAGTATTTTTTGTTATATTAAAAACATATACCAGATAAAATATTACAGTTTCATCTCTGTGTAAATCGAGAAAATTTACCCCTTTTAAAATATTAATTCGCAAATACTTTTGCGTGTGCACACACACGTACACACGAAATTGATGTTAAAAATTTTCCAAAAAGTATAACGAATTTTTTATAAATGTTATCCCGTGAACTTGGGAGCCGCTGCATGCGATTCCATTTGGCAAATCACGTAAATCAAGTTGTATCGGGAGTCTAAGGATTATTAATCTTTAACTCAAAAGAGAGCGAGTGTCCGATAGGTATCGTGAGGCACAGAAGAAAGTTTAATCGCTTTACATATATGCCACTTGGAGCAATCACGATGGCACATGTACCGCTTTAATATATAGAATAAGCTTTATAAAGATCTGCTGATTAAAAAAATCATTAACATTTCGCGCGTCATTGATGTAACATAAATTAACTGTCGCAAATCGTTGTGTTGTCGAAGTGAAGCATTATAGCGCATGGCGTTTTAATATTATCGTTAATCGTACCCGATTCGACGACACGACGCGAAGGAATGTCCGGCTTATCGAGTACGAGGGAATATGCCTCAATAAAACGAAGGGACTCGCAGACCGCACGCCGCAGATTGCCGCTAAGGGAGCTCGCCTCAGATGGGAGATCCAGATTAGCGGTGCGCGAGTAAACGAGAACGAGAACGAGCGGATAACGTGACTCGCGCGAATTGTGTGATGAACGGGCCGGTGCTGCTTGACGACTTCACCGTGTTGATCGCGAGTCAATGGACAGCCGATCAAAAGCTGTGCAATTGACGCGATGGCGCAGCAAGAAGATCGGTCGGGAAAATGCGCTTAATTACATGGCTGAGTAATTTCATTTTTTTTTATTTCCCGTCAGCAGCACGTGCTGACGTATGATTACGTTATGATACGTACATGATTCGAAACTGATTTTTGATCCAGTAAAATTTTTTATTGGTAACGTATCTATAAAGTTCTAAGAAGCGAAGATACCGCGAAAGAAACCACCGTCGAACGAGAATCCGACAGTGAATATCTCGTTCGACCTTATTAGAAATAATATTCTTCTGAAGCTGCAGAGTGCAAGAATGTGGATTGTAAAATGTGCTCTCGATATTTAATAATATTATAAATAATGTTACGAGGAAACGCGCAGCAAGATTTCTCTATTTTCGCTTGTAAATATTCTACCATAACGAGTCTCATCGAGCGATCGTTCGAATCGCCGGAGAGATGCTCGTAGAAATTTGCTTGCCGTTCCGAAGGAGGGCCGGCGATAGAACAGCCTTATTCGTCTCTGAGCTCTGTTACAACGATAGCCAATATGATGCGCTCCATCTCGGCCTTCGACCGCAAATCACGTTCCATTATACGTCCTGATAATCGAACCTGCGAGAAGGATTTCGGGAATTCTCTTCCGCGTACCACGAGATCGTCGTGTTCCGATATACCCCTTGCGGTTTCTCATACCGGTTAAAACTTCGCAACGAGTCGGCTGCGGTCGACGCACAGGCGTGTAACGCGTCTAAAATACGCATTCCTCGAGTCCCTTGTACGTTATTCTAGATGTAGCTCCGAATTACACGCTGCCCCGTAGCCGTTTGCAAAAATTTCGCGCTCCACGATACATTACAGGAGGTCGACCGACTAACGACGTTGGGATCCTCGCGACGTAAAACGTAGCTGTATTTAATTTAAACGCAAAAATCACCTAACGTCACGTAACCATGATGGCCAAATTAAATATGAATAATTAAGCATCTAACGGTACTTTTATATGCGTAATTAAATAATCTCAGCGACGATAGCTATGAGATTTATTTTTTGTTTAACGATTCGTTAAGTCAATTTTATTATCTGTAATAAACGATATAGGAAATTTAGGATCAATTTAGAATATTTCAATTTCGAATCGTTTCGTTTCTCACCAGGATAATAAAAGTCGAAAACTCTGCTCGTTTTATTACTACTATGTTTATTTCTACCGTTGAATTATTTTTATCTAAAGTGTACCATCACTTAGAATCGAATAAATGGTCGCGCCTCCCATGTTTTTACAGCCTTTTAAGAGACACGCATATACCCCTTTGAGTATAAGAGCACGTTGTGTCACTGCGCGACAATCGGGTGCAAATTTACGCATGAATTACGCAGCCATAAGCAACAGATATACGTACACACGTGAGTACACTATACACCTAGGTGCGTCACGCACAGTTTCCCACACTTTCGCCGTACTCTATAAACGCCCTTGACAATATTCCCAACGTGCATCGATATTTCTTTCGGCTAAGGGATGAAGTTCTTTTAATTAGACGAATCGTTACACAACAATCGTCGCGTTAACAGGAATAATAAAGTGCAACGTCTACCGATTGTAGAAGTAATGGAACGGTGCATTGTTGAACACACATTGGAAGGGTAATAAGAAATGGAGAGGTAATCAATATGTACCTTCCTTTCTTATACATGAACAATGACACAGGTTATAATCTACATTTTCCACACGTCTGCAAAACGTTGGTTGCATTACTGCACTGTTATATCCAAATTTTATAACTCAAAGTTTTAAATTCATTAATAGACACGAAATATGAAAAGTGTTGCTATTGTACGTAGAGGGAAGTCGATGCGTATCATAATAAAGCGATGGTTAGGCATAATGATATAAAATGGTGATGGTTACCCGTAAAGTTACCCGTAAAACTTATAGTGCTTGACATAAAAAGACATCTATTTCTAAGGAAAAAGTATACGATGTATTTTGCTAACTTTGATAATACCATTTTTATTGACTTATTCATTTTATAGTCGAGGTGGGAGAAAATCGAGGAAATTTATTCTCTTTGCTTACTACATTACACCTATTTCCCCCTTGCCGGTGCCTTATGAATTTATTACATTTGCTATTTATCCCACGGTAAACTAAATGTCACCTTTACAATTATCTTATGAGTCTAAAAAAGAAAAATATATCGTCTATGTAAATTCGATACATGGAAGGGGAAACACAGTTTTGCAGCGTTATTCCTGACATACGCATTTCAGTTTTCGTGGAAGATGGACTTGGGTGGAGAACGATATTATATGCTGAATAGAATTCTTATGTCGTGTCTCGGTCTGTGGCCTGATGACATTTCAACTTTCAAGAAAGTACAAATAATGTTTTATCAAACGTTATTCATATCCTTCCTAATATGTCAGGTATTCAATTTCTTATTCCATATGTATTTTACTTATTTAAATAACTGTTTATGCCAAGTCGTTGTGATATAACAATTGACAAGTCTCTATAATATTAAATGAATAAATTTTTATGTAAAATGATGTTTTCGTTTACATTTTTGCAATAATTATTCTATAAGGCTACTGCTTTCAGTGCATTCCATTGTTTATAAAACAGAACAGCATCAAGTATATTCTTAAAGTGTTGTCGCAAATTGTTTTGACTTTTATATATATTCTATTGTACAACACATGTCTACTACTCGGCGATACCGTAAGTGTTGACTTAATTTTAAAGTATTTCAAATTCTGTTGATATAAGATTTGTCGTTGAAATAATATTCTTTATCCATTTTAGTTTTTCTATTTCCCAATTTACATAACATCGTATTACGTAACTCTTTAATATATTGAAAAAAAATCAATTAAATATAATTAAAAATGATTACAATTGCATGAAAAAATAAAAAAGTATCTCATAGGATATATAATTCCTAAAAAACTTACAAAATATAATAAGATATTTTATTTGTGATCATAGATCAAATATATCTTTGACAGAGTTCGATACGATTGGAATATGTTAAAAGCTCATGCAGATTTGGAAATTTTACAAAAATATGCAAACGAAGCAAAATTCCAAACGATCTTTATTTTTCGTAAGATATCAAATCGAATGTCAATTGTATCAATCAAGTTCTTTTCCTAATATATTATTTTTATGTGAATGTTAATTTAGTTTTTAAGCATTACACATTATATTTATATCATTTAAATTCAAATGTTTTAGAAAGCATATGTCCAATTTTTTAAAATAATAACATCTTTAGATAAATGTCAAAACAATTAACCTAATATCTGTGGTATTGTGTTCTGTGAATTTCTTGTACGTTGTAGTAAAATATAAAATACATTGCATTTTATACTACGTCCACTACATGCTCACTGCGTCATGATTTATTTGCTTCAGTTTCGAGTAATATTTATTCATTGGTAATAGTCATAATAAGTTATTCCCCCCGTGTACTTGATATATTTACACCACTGAATGAATCACGATCGCTCCAAATATTATATACTGTGGAATACTTTGTCGACGAAGAAACATACTTTTTCGCTATTTTGATGCATATGGTCTTAGTTGCTTATGCTGGAGGCATGGCAGCAACTGCTATCGCAACAGTACTCCTAATATACATTTCGCACACTTGCGCTTTGTTTAAAATCGCCAGGTAAAATAAGAATCTTAATTTTCTCTAAAAATTACAGTAAGTCAATTCCAAGACAATCAAAGTAAATAAATTAAAATGAGTTTGCTTAAACAATATATTTAACAACGCATAAAACAATAGAAACGCCGATATCTTTAAAATAACAGATTTAAAATGAGAATAGACAAAAGACGAACGTTTCGAACAGTTTTTTTGTTCATCTTCAACACAACAAATAAAAAGATCCAGTATATCCAATATGAAGTAATAAATGTCATTATGAGTTAAAATAATTAAAGACATAAAAACATATAAAGCGAATTATAGTTGTACATTTTACAACGGAAGTTAGTCAGCCTAAGTAACAACATTACAACAGGGCAAGTCGTAAAGTTGAAATTAAAAATGTAAAGTGGCAGCAAAGATGAGCGCTGGTGTTTAGACATTTTAGAATCATAGGACGGTCGGAATAAATGGTGAGAAAAAAGGGCGATATGTTAATGTAAAAAAATTGGATAAAAACGTGAGAATGAGAGGAAAAAATTGTCTCATTTATTCCGGTTTTAAATATGCTATTAAAAATATCGCCTTTTTAGTGTTATATTATACCATGTTAAAAATATTGTTTTGGCAAACACATTTTAATTTATTTACTTTGACTCTCTTGGCCTTGGCTTACTGTAATTTTTATATTTGTAGTAATTTGTGTTTATTAATAATAGACAATAACAATACCACACATACATGCGCGCGTGCGTTCACATGCACGCACGCACGCTCGTACGCTCGAACGTATGCACGCACGCACACACGTTCACACCCACCCACACAAATAAACTTTATTGATTTATTTAAAAACCTAATATAAGAACACATTTAGTATCACTAAATCTGTATTTTGATAGCTATCAAATGGAACACGTATGTACAAGTGACAAAAATGTACAATTAATACCAAAGGACATTAAACAGTCAATGCTTTACAACAATTTAATTCATGCTGTATATGTTCATCGTCGAGCTATGGAGTTAGTAATAAATTATATTATTCCTTTGCACTCCTAATCGACTTTGCCTGGACAAGACAAAATTATTGTTGCGATATATAATATTACAAATATTAACTTATCGTTCATATAACAGATATCAACATGAACAAAGCTAAAAACAGCGAAATTTAATAAACTGCCATTTTTTGAATTTGATACGTCAAAAAGTCCTTGCAAAAAGAGCTCAGCGCACAGGCCAAAAATTATTGTTACGAATGAAAACTAAATATCTACATATTTTGCTGTTATAGTTCTGCTAATAATATAACAAACAGTTTTTCGATGTTCTTTATCGTGCTATTAGTATGTTGTGTGGCTATAATGAGTCTCAGTTTCTGCAATGTAAGCGTAAATGCAAACGAACAGAATATTATATCATTTATTGAAAAAAAATTTATTATTATGATGATATACAAATATAAAACTACAGAAGTTATAAAATTAATAAATAATATTCGCGATTCAAGGTAATTAATGCAGTGACATCCGGGGAAAAATTAGATGTAGTTACAAACAGTGCAATGATATTTGGAGTAATGTATTGTATTTTTCTGGGAAATTATGTTGGTCAGAACATTATAGATAGCAGCACTGCCATTTCTCAAGCGACGTAAGTAAACACATTGTCCGAACTGTATAATATTGTAAATATATCTACCATACAACTCTAGTAATTCTGTAATGTGTAATTAATGTAAATAATTGTAAATATATATATATATAGTATATACATAATTTTGTATATCATTAAATATTACTTGTAAAACATACAAACAACATAAATCAAGAGGTTAATGATTATTTAATAATTGATTAATTAATAATTTCATTTAATTAAATATATTAATTCATATTAATTGCTGTATATGTATATTTGTGTATGTAATAGATACAATGCACAGTGGTACACTGCGCCAATATGTATGCAAAAATTAATAATACTCATAATACAAAGAAGTAACAAACAGAGTTCTTTGACAATTGGAGCTTTATTTGACGTGTCGTTAGAAGGTTTTGCTACGGTAAGGACTATTAAGGGTAATTCGATTTTGATGAGTCCAATGACAGAAAGAGATTTTAAATATTTATTAATCATAATATTTATAGCTTCTAAGTATGTCCATATCCTACGTTATGGTTCTTCAATCTATGGGAACACTCACCGAAAGCGAAAAGAAGTAATAATTACGTATTAGGTATTCGAGTTGTAGGACTAGGATATGTACAGTACATTTTACATGTACTTTTCTACATATTCATTAATAAATTAAATCAAACCAAATAATAATGTAATACATTTTTGTGAAATTATTGCTATTGTGTCATAGATTAAGACATGTTTTTGGATTACTTTTTATCTTCCTTTTCCATTATTAACAATAATATCAACTTATCATATCTTCTCAATGTAATTTCCCTTTTTCGGTGCAGATATTTAATATAATTTATTTTCAATATTTTTTTCAATATAACATAATATGATGAAGCGTTAAATATGTAATGCTTACAATTTAATGTCGCCCACATGATTTAACATTTCAATAGCCTGAGTGAAAATAAAGACTCACTAGCCAACCTCGAGGGAAACTCAACAAGGCGTCCGCGTGAGAAGAGAATATTTCGGAAGAGGAAAAACTACTTCCTGAGAAATAGGGCCCAATCTGGGTCACTCTAACCAAACCTCACATCTCCTATAGAGAGCGCAAGCTTGACTAACATTTTTGCAAAGCGCATTCGGGCATGAAAAATTAATCCAAAAAAACTGTAAACCGACAAATATAAGTTGTTTCAAAAGTTTCGTCGACTTCTTTTCCAGCGAACTTGCGGAACCAGAGAGCTTTCAAATTGGTGACGTGATATACAGGGTGAGTCACAACATTTGTGACAACGCTCGTTAAAAGGTAGAACGGATCGGGATGAACAGAAAAGTCCGGTGCCATTTGCAATTTTCGCAATAGTTAACGAGTAAGTAATTTTTTAAAATCGTCGACTTTGCCCTGCCCACCGCCTAATTCAAGCGCATCGCGAGATGTGACCGCACGGCGATCGAAATTGCCAGGCGAGGGGGGAGGACAGCGCGCCGTTGCCGGCGAGCTTACGTCGCCGCTCCCGCGTCTCGCGGCCCACCACGCGCCAGGCAATATAGATCGCCGTGCGGTCACATCTCGCCACGCGCTCGAATTGGGCTGTGGGCAGGGCAAAGTCGACAATTTTTAATAATTAATTACTCGTTAACTATTGCGAAAATTGCAAATGGTACAGGACTTTTCTGTTCATCTCGATCCGTTCTACCTTCTCACGAGCGTTGTCACAAATGTTGTGACTCACCCTGTATACTTCTTTGAGTATAGGGACACGCTGTGTCACTGCGCGGCGTTCGGGTGCGAATTTACACATGAATTACGCAGCCGTAAGTGACAGATATATGTACGCACGTGAGTACGCTACACATGTACGTGCGTCACGCACAATTTCATAAACTTCCGCTGTACTCTGTAAGCGCCTTTGACACTATTCCCCACGCGCATCGATATTTCTTTCAGCTGAAGGATGAAGTTCTCCTAATTAGACGAATGGTTACACAACAATCATCGCGTTAACAGGAATAATAAAGTGCAACGTCTACCGATTGTGGAAGTAATGGAACGGTGCATTGTTGAACACACATTGGAAGGATAATAAGAAATGGAGAAATAATCAATATGTACCTTCCTTCCTTATACATGAACAATGACACATGTTATAATCTGCATTTTCCACACTTCTGCAAAACGTTGGTTGCATTACTGCACTGTTATATGTATCCAAATTTTTTAATTCAAAGTTTTAAATTCATTAATAGACACGAAATATGAAAAGTGTTGCTATTGTACGTAGAAGGAAGTCGATGCGTATCATAATAAAGTGATGGTTAGGTGTAATGATATGAAATGGTGATAGTTACATACCCGTAAAGTTACCCGTAAAACTTATAGTGTTTGATATAAAAAGACATCTATTTTTAAGGAAAAAGTATACGATGTATTTTACTAATTTTGGTAATGCCATTTCTATTGATTTATTCGTTTTATAGTCGAGGCGGGAGAAAATCGAGGAAATTTAGACTTTATTTACTACACACACCTATTTCCCCCGTGCCGGTGCTTTATGAATTTTTTACATCTGCTATTTATCCTACGGTAAATTGAACCTTTACAATTATCTTATGAGTCTAAGGAAGAAAAATTGATCGTCTACCTAAATTCGATACATGGAGGGGGAAACACAGGTTTGCAGCGTTAGGCCTGACATACGCATTTCAGTTTTCGTGGAAGATGGACTTCGCTGGTGAACGGTATTATAAGATGAGTAGAATTCTTCTGTCGAGTCTCGGTCTGTGGCCTGATGACATTTCAACTTTCAAGAAAGTACAAATAATATTTTACCAAACGTTATACATATCCTTTCTAATATGTCAGGTATTAAATTTTTTACTCCACATGTATTTTATTAATTTATAAATGAATGTTTATGTCAGGTCGCTCTGATACAACAATTGACAAGTCTCTATAATATTAAATGAATACAGTTTTATTTAAATTAATGTTTGCTTACATTTTTGCTATAATCTTTCAATAAGGTTACTGCTTTCAGTGCATTCCATTGTTTATAAAACAGTACAGCATTGTGTGTATTATTAAAATGTTGTCGTACATTGTTCTGACTTGTCTATTTATTCTGGTATATAACACATGTCTACTACTCAACGATAACGCAAGTGTTCACTTGGTTTTATAGTATTTGAAATTCTATTCATATAAGATTTTTGTTAAAATAATATTTTTTATCGATTTTAGTTTTTCTATTTCCAATTTTACTTAACATCGTATGACATCTAATAATTATTTAATATATTTAAAAATATTGAATTAAGTATTATTAAAAAAATATTACAATTACGGGAAAATATAAAAAAGTATCTCATAGGACATATAATTTCAAAAAACCGCCAAAATAAGATATTTTATTTGTGATCATAGATCAAATATATCTTCGACAGAGTTCGATACGATTGGAATATGTTAAAAGCTCATGCAGATTTGGAAATTTTACAAAAATATGCAAACGAAGCAAACTTCCAAACGATCTTCATTTTTCGTAAGATATCAAATCGAATGTCAATTGTATCAATCAAGTTCTTTTCCTAATATATTATTTTTATGTGAATGTTAATTTAGTTTTTACGCATTACACATTATATTTATATCATTTAAATTTAAATGTTTTAGAAAGCATATGTCCAATTTTTTAAAATAATAACGTCTTTAGATAAATGTCAAAACAATTAACCTAATATCTGTGGTATTGTGTTCTGTGAATTTCTTGTACGTTGTAGTAAAATATAAAATACATTGCATTTTATACTACGTCCACTACATGCTCACTGCGTCATGATTTATTTGCTTCAGTTTCGAGTAATATTTATTCATTGGTAATAGTCATAATAAGTTATTCCCCCCGTGTACTTGATATATTTACACCACTGAATGAATCACGATCGCTCCAAATATTATATACTGTGGAATACTTTGTCGACGAAGAAACATACTTTTTCGCTATTTTGATGCATATGGTCTTAGTTGCTTATGCTGGAGGCATGGCAGCAACTGCTATCGCAACAGTACTCCTAATATACATTTCGCACACTTGCGCTTTGTTTAAAATCGCCAGGTAAAATAAGAATCTTAATTTTCTCTAAAAATTACAGTAAGTCAATTCCAAGACAGTCAAAGTAAATAAATTAAAATGAGTTTGCTAAAACAATATATTTAACAACGCATAAAACAATAGAAACGCCGATATCTTTAAAATAACAGATTTAAAATGAGAATAGACAAAAGACGAACGTTTCGAACAGTTTTTTTGTTCATCTTCAACACAACAAATAAAAAAGATCCAGTATATCCAATATGAAGTAATAAATGTCATTATGAGTTAAAATAATTAAAGACATAAAAACATATAAAGCGAATTATAGTTGTACATTTTACAACGGACGTTAGTCAGCCTAAGTAACAACATTACAACAGGGCAAGTCGTAAAGTTGAAATTAAAAATGTAAAGTGGCAGCAAAGATGAGCGCTGGTGTTTAGACATTTTAGAATCATAGGACGGTCGGAATAAATGGTGAGAAAAAAGGGCGATATGTTAATGTAAAAAAATTGGGTAAAAACGTGAGAATGAGAGGAAAAAATTGTCTCATTTATGCTCGTTTTAAATATGCTATGAAAAATATCGCCTTTTTAGTGTTATATTATACCATGTTAAAAATATTGTTTTGGCAAACACATTTTAATTTATTTACTTTGACTCTCTTGGCCTTGACTTACTGTAATTTTTATATTTGTAGTAATTTGTGTTTATTAATAATAGACAAAAACAGTACCACACACACACGCGCGCGCGCGCTCGTGCACGCACGCACGCACGCACGCACGCACGCACGCACACACGCAACCAACAAATAAACTTTATTGATTTATTTAAATACCTAATATAAGAACACGTTTAGTATCACTAAATCTGTATTTTGATAGCTATCAAATGGAACACGTATGTACAAGTGACAAAAATGTACAATTAATACCAAAGGACATTAAACAGTCAATGTTTTACAACAATTTAATTTATGCTGTATATGTTCATCGTCGAGCTATGGAGTTAGTATTCAATTATATTATTCCTTTGCACTCCTAACCGACTTTGCCTGGACAAGACAAAATTATTGTTGCGATATATAATATTACAAATATTAACTTATCGTTCATATAACAGATATCAACATGAACAAAGCTAAAAACAGCGAAATTTAATAAACTGCCATTTTTTGAATGTGATACGTCCTGAAAAGTCCTTGCACAACGTGAAAAGTCCTTGCAAAAAGAGCTCAGCGCACAGGCCAAAAATTATTGTTACGAATGAAAACTAAATATCTACATATTTTGCTGTTATAGTTCTGCTAATAATATAACGAACAGTTTTTCGATGTTCCTTAACGTGCTATTAGTATGTAGTGTGGTTATGATGAGTCTCAGTTTCTGCAATGTAAGCGTAAATGCAAACGAACAGAATATTATATCATTTATTGAAAAAAAATTTATTATTATGATGATATACAAATATAAAACTACAGAAGTTATAAAATTAATAAATAATATTCGATTCAAGGTAATTAATGCAGTGACATCCTGGGAAAAATTAGATGTAGTTACAAACGGTGTAATGATATTTGGACTAATGTATTGTAGTTTTCTGGGAAATTATGTTGGTCAGAACATTATAGATAGCAGCACTGCCATTTCTCAAGCGACGTAAGTAAACACATTGTCCTAACTGTATAATATTGTAAATATATCTACCATATAACTCTCGTAATTCCGTAATGTGTAATTAATGTAAATAATTGTAAATATATATATACATAATTTTGTATATCATTAAATATTACTTGTAAAACATACAAACAACATAAACCAAGAGGTTAATGATTATTTAATAATTGATTAATTAATAATTTCATTTAATTAAATATATTAATTCATATTAATTGCTGTATATGTATATTTGTGTATGTAATAGATACAATGCACAGTGGTACACTGCGCCAATATGTATGCAAAAATTAATAATACTTATAATACAAAGAAGTAACAAACAGAGTGTTTTGACAATTGGAGCTTTATTTGACGTGTCGTTAGAAGGTTTTGCTACGGTAAGGACTATTAAGGGTAATTCGATTTTGATGAGTCCAATGACAGAAAGAGATTTTAAATATTTATTAATCATAATATTTATAGCTTCTAAGTATGTCCATATCCTACGTTATGGTTCTTCAATCTATGGGGACACTCACCGAAAGCGAAAAGAAGTAATAATTACGTTTTAGGTATTCGAGTTATAGGTCTAGGATATGTACAGTACATTTTACATGTACTTTTCTACATATTCATTAATAAATTAAATCAAACCAAATAATAATGTAATATATTTTTTAAATTATTGCTATTATGTCATAGATTAAGACATGTTTTTGGATTACATTTTATCTTCCTTCTCCATTATTAATAATAATATCAACTAATCATATCTTCCCAATGTAATTTCCCTTTTTCGGTGCAGATATTTAATATAATTTATTTTCAATATTTTTTGCAATATAACATAATATGATGAAGCGCTAAATATGTAATGCTTACAATTTAATGTCGCCTACATGATTAAACATTTCAATAGCCTGAGTGCAAATAAAGACTCACTAGCCAACCTCGAGGGAAACTCAACAAGGCGTCCACGTGAGAAGAGGATATTTCGGAAGAGGAAAAACTATTTCCTGAGAAATAGGGCCCAATCTGGGTCACCCTAACCAAACCTCACATCTCCTATAGAGAGCGCAAGCTTGACTAACATTTTTGCAAAGCGCATTCGGGCATGAAAAATTAATCCAAAAAAACTGTAAACCGACAAATATGAGTCGTTTCAAAAGTTTCGTCGACTTTTTTTCAAGCGAACTTGCGGAACCAGAGAGCTTTCAAATTGTTAACCTCAACGTGATATAGATACGCCACCTTATGGAGCCAATCATCTCTTACAAGAGACTTGTATATACTTCTTTCAGTATAGAGACACGCTGTGTCACTGCGCGGCGTTCGGGTGCGAATCTACACATGAATTACGCAGCCATAAGCGACAGATATATGTACGCACGTGAGTACACTACACATCTACGTGCGTCACGCACAGTTTCACACACTTCCGCTGTACTCTGTAAGCGCCTTTGACACTATTCCCCACGCGCATCGATATTTCTTTCAGCTGAAGGATGAAGTTCTCCTAATTAGACGAATCGTTACACAACAATCATCGCGTTAACAGGAATAATAAAGAGCAACGTCTACCGATTGTAGAAGTAATGGAACGGTGCATTGTTGAACACACATTGAAAGGGTAATAAGAAATGGAGAGGTAATCAATACGTACCTTCTCCTTATACATGAACAATGACACATGTTATAATCTGAATTTTCCACACTTCTGCAAAACATTGGTTGCATTACTGCACTGTTATATCCAAGTTTTTTAATTCAAATTTTTAAATTCATTAATAGACACAAAATGTGAAAAGTGTTGCTATTGTACGTAGAAGGAAGTCGATGCGTATCATAATAAAGTGATGGTTAGGTATAATGATATAAAATGGTGATAGTTACCCGTAAAACTTATAGTGTTTGATATAAAAAGACATCTATTTTTAAGGAAAAAGTATATGATGTATTTTGCTAATTTTGATAATGCCATTTCTATTGATTTATTCGTTTTATAGTCGAGGCGGGAGAAAATCGAGGAAATTTAGTCTTTATTTACTACACACACCTATTTCCCCCGCGCCGGTGCTTTATGAATTTTTTACATCTGCTATTTATCCTACGGTAAATTGAACCTTTACAATTATCTTATGAGTCTAAGAAAGAAAAATTTATCGTCTACCTAAATTCGATACATGGAGGGGGAAACACAGGTTTGCAGCGTTAGGTCTGACACACGCATTTCAGCTTTCGTGGAAGATGGACTTGGGTGGAGAACGATATTATATGCTGAATAGGATTCTTCTGTTGTCTCTCGGTCTGTGGCCTGATGATATTTCAACTTTCAAGAAAGTACAAATAATGTTTTATCAAACGTTATTCATATCCTTCCTAATATGTCAGGTATTCAATTTCTTATTCCATATGTATTTTACTTATTTAAATAACTGTTTATGCCAAGTCCTTGTGATACAACAATTGACAAGTCTCTATAATATTAAATAAATACACTTTTATTTAAATTAATGTTTGTTTACATTTTTGCTATAATCTTTCAATAAGGTTACTGCTTTCAGTGCATTCCATTGTTTATAAAACAGTACAGCATCGTGTGTATTATTAAAATGTTGTCATACATTGTTATGACTTGTATATATATTCTGACGTATAACACATGTCTGCTACTCAATGATAACGTAAGTGTTCACTTGGTTTTATAGTATTTGAAATTCTGTTCATATAAGATTTTTGGTTAAAATAATATTTTTTATCGATTATAGTTTTTCTATTTCCAATTTTACTTAACATCGTATGACATATAATAATTATTTAATATATTTAAAAATATTGAATTAAGTATTATTAAAAAAATATTACAATTACGTGAAAATATAAAAAAGTATCTCATAGGACATATAATTTCCAAAAACCGCCAAAATAAGATATTTTATTTGTGATCATAGATCAAATATATCTTCGACAGAGTTCGATACGATTGGAATATGTTAAAAGCTCAGGCAGAATTGGAAGTTTTACGAAAATTTGCAAACGAAACAAAATTCCATACGATCTTTATTTTTCGTAAGATATCATCTCGAATTGCAATTGTATCAATCAAGTTATTTTCCTAGTATATTATTTTTATGTGAATGTTAATTTAGTTTATAAGCATCACATATTATATTCATATCATTTATATTCGAGTGTTTTAAAAAGTTATGTAAAATTTTTTACAATAATAACATCTTTAGATTGATGTCAATAGTATTAAACTAATATCTGTTGTATTTTTTCTCTGTATTTCTTATACTTTTTTAGTAAAATATAAAATATATTACTTGTCATACTACGTCCACTACATGTTGACTATATCATGATTTATTTGCTTCAGTTGTGAATACGAGCGCTGCGTTGGGAGTAGTTATAATAAGTTGTATTCCCCGTGTACTTGATGTGTTTATACCAATGAATGAATCACGTTCGCTACAAATGATAATTACTCTGGAATACTTTGTCGACGAAGAATCATATTTTTTCGCTATTTTGACGCATATGTTCTTAACTATTTATGTTGGAAGCATTACAATAACAGCTACGGCAACAGTAATCCTAATATACATTTCGCACACTTGCGCTTTGTTTAAAATCGCTAGGTAAATTAAGAATCTTAAATATCTTGAAAAATTACAGGAAGTCAAGGCCAAGAGAGTCAAAGTAAATACAATAAATTGTGTTTGCTATAAACAATGTATTTTGACATCGCATAAAACAATAGAAACGCCGATATCTTTAAAATAAGATACTTAAAATAGCAATAGACAATAGACAAACGTTTAGAACAGTTCCTTTAAACATCTTCGGCGTAAAAGATAAAAAGATCCAGTATATTTAATATGAAGTAATAAATGTTATAAGTTAAAATAATTAAAGAAAGAAAAACATAAAATGTATTATAGTTATACATTTTAATACATGTTAATCAGTCTAATTAACAAAATTACAATAGGGTAAGCTGTACAATTAAAATTAAAAATATAAAGTGGCAGCACAGACGAGCGCTGATGTTTAGACATCTTAGAATCGTAAAACAGCCGGATAAAACGCTAAGAAAAAACGTTGCGATATGTTAACTAAAAAAAAATTGGGTATAAATGTGAGAATGAGAGGAAATGGTTTCATTTATTCTGGTTTTAAACATGTTATTAAAGATATCGCCGTTTTTATTCTTTCAAGCAATGTTAAATATATTGTTTTAGAGAAGTTATTGTAATTTAGTTACAATATTTACATTGACCCTCAAGGCCTTGACTCACTGTAATATTTATATTTGAAGTCATTAGTCGTTTTTATTCTGAAAACACACACCCACACACGCGCGCAAACGTGCTCACGTTCGCGCACAGGCACACACTCCCCCGTCTACCTTTAGCCTCTCTCACCCGCCACACCACTCTCTCTCTCTCTCTCTCTCTCTCTCTCTCTCTCTCTCTCTCTCTCTC